ACAGGAAGACAGGTAACAGTTTCCGATTTGGAAAACTGGTCCCACAATGTGTCAACTTCAGGAACTGTAACTGAGGCGCTTTTTCAGCGGTGAGCATACTGACAAACTGTTAGAGTTCAATGTGGCTTCAATAAAAGTATTACAGAATGAAATCCTTCTGGCGTACCCAAACAATAAACTCACACCCATTTTGAACTCATTTGCAAACTCATTTGCATTCTGCACTCTGTGCTGTGTCGCTACACACTGTATTATGAACATTTGGATCTAGTAGTATTTAGAAGGGTTAGTTTCTACTGAGATAACTAAATCATCACGTAGTTTGTATTTATTTTGGCCTTTTGGGCCACACCCGGTGATGCCCAGGGGTTCCTCCTGGCTCTGTGCTCAGGAATCACTCCTGGCCGTGATCAGGGGACCGTATGGGGTACCAGGGATGGAACCTGGGTCGAGCATGTGCGAGGCAACACCCTCCCGCTGTGTTATGACTCCGGCCCCTCGATGTCCTTGCTGGAAACAGAACTCTGAGGCTTAAGGAAGAGCTACTGACTTAATTCACGGGAGCCTTCGGCCCACAGAGCAGAGTTCTGCTTCGACGCGGGTGAGTGGTGAGCACTGAGAGTCCCCAACCCTGAGCTGGTGCAAGACAGTTCAGCTTCAGCCTTTTATAGTTCTTCCTTTCTCCACTCCCGAACCTCCTCAGATGCCTTAAATTATCAGCACAGTATTAAACAAAGAGGCATAAATGAGCTGGAGACTGTGTTCCAATGGCTTGTGAACTGATCATTGGAACGAGTTCAATGTTCCCAATCTCAAATCCAACTTTCAGTTTAAAATCATTAGATTCTGGGGTCTGGAGAGATAGGACATGAGGGAAGGCTCTTGCCTTGCACGAGCCCCACATGGGTTTGAACCCCTGCATCCCATGCGATTCCTCCATGCACTGCCAGGAGTGATTCCTAATGCAGAGCCAGGAGTAAGCCCTGAGCATCGCTGGGTGTGACACAAACCCAGCCCCCCCCCCAAAATTTAAAGATGATAAATGAGATTATCTATGAATAACACTGAGCTAAAATAACTCAGTCTAGTACTTATTCCTACAACACAATCTATTCTAGTACTTAAAACTGCCTGGCTCAAGTAAGGTGAGGCAAGGGACCTCTTCCTTATCTAGGGAGGGAGAAAAGCGCATTATCAGGATTTACTCATTGACTAAACAATTAAGAGACTTCTCTAAGAAAACAATATTTCTAACTTAACGCCATGATACAAAATTTGAATTTTTTTTTAACTAATCTGAATTTTTAAAAATTTGCGATAGCACAGCGGTAGGGCGTTCGCCTTACAAGCGGCCAGCATGGCCGACCCGAGTTCGATTCCTCCGCCCCTCTCGGAGAGCCCGGCAAGCTACCGAGAGTATTCGATATGCCAGACACAGTAACAACAAAGTCTCCAATGGAGACGTTACTGGGCCCGCTGGAGCAAATCGACGATCAACGGGAGGGCCTTTACCTTTTCGGAGAGCCCGGCAAGCTACCGAGAGTATTCGATATGCCAGACACAGTAACAACAAAGTCTCCAATGGAGACGTTACTGGGCCCGCTCGAGCAAATCGACGATCAACGGGAGGGCCTTTACTTTACTTTACTGCTTACAGTAATATTTTTCAACAATGGTAAGACAGTATTGCTGAAAATAGCCAAAGGCAATGCCAAGTTTATCTGGGTAACTACGTGATCATTAAAAATGCTTTTGATTCCTTTCTGTTTCTAAGCCAAGCGGCCTCAGCTGAGAGAGGCAGGAGTCCCAGAGAGCCACTCCCAGGCCTGTGACTGTGAAGTGAAGCTTTACCAAGCCTGGAACAAGCACCAGAGCAGTGACCTAATCTCACAGACAAGGACTGTCAGCTTCTCCCACAGATGTGACTCAATGATTACACTGTTATCACAGAGGCCGGCAATGGCCTCTTAATGGCTCTAAAAGCAAAAAAAAAAAAAAAAAATCAATGTGAGGATTAACCTGGGGGGTCTTCCTTCCAGTATTTACTCCTGAAGGACATTCTGAGCAGATGGAAAATGTCCAATTACGACAATGGGAACAATGGGAACAGAGTATTTAGAATTCAAATATCCATGAAGTGAGAACGTTAGTAAAATGATTGGAAGATTTGGTCAGGAAAGTGAGAAAGCTTTCTGAGTCCATTTTCCATTCCTACCCATTTCTATTTGAAACAGCCCTGAAGAGTCTACCCTACCAGAATCATCCAAATGAAGTATTTACACAATTGTAAATATCTAATTGACCCCTAACGGAGGTGTTGGGGTTTCTGGCAGCCAGTCCCAGGGAGAGGGGATCCCGGGTGGCTTCTGGCTGGACTCTGGCACTGGTCCCTGGAGTGACATTTCCTTAAAGAAGCTGGGGGGAGGGGGCTGGAGTGATAGCACAGCAGAGAGGGCATTTGTTTTGCACTTGGCCAACCTGGGTTTGATTCCCAGCATTCCCGAGCACCACCAGGAACAATTCCTGAGTGCAGAGCCAGGAGTAGCCCCTGTGCATTGCTGGGTGTGACCCCCCAAAGAAAAGAGGCTAGGGGAATGCAGCTCAGTGGTAGAAGGTTTGTAAGGTTCTCCCACACTCGCCTGCTCCGTCAAAGGAAGGGTCTTTAAAAAGAACACTTAGAAATTCTTCAGACTCAGAAGCCCTTAGAACCCAGGAGAGTTTCAGCCTCTGGCGTCAGAGGGCAACTCCTAAGGCTGAAATGGAACGTTTAATAAAACAGAAGAGAAGACGGAGGGGCACGTCTGAAGATGACTCTGGTATTCTAGATCCAAAAATCTAGCTACTTAAAAATGAGAACACTTGTTTTATGAATAAAAATCGACCGTTAACTGACTGCCAGGCTGAGCGTGTGACCCAACCGAAGCGCTCAACGGGACCCTGAGACAACCTAACCGTGACGCGCTGCTGAGGACACTGGAGGTATTGATAGAAAGGAATTACTTTTCATCCATGCGGCTCCGCATCTTCTTAAGCTTCTGCATGATGCTGCTGGTCTCACTGCTGGAGATGGAGATGGGGGACGGGCTGCGGGTCTCCAGGTCCGTCGGGCCCGGGCTGGCCTCTTTGTTATCCCGCAGATCCTCATCGCTGGGAGAGTCCTGCAAGCACCAAGGGGCAGAGCGTGACGATCTCACTGGGATGGAAGGTCTTGGAGCCGTTCTGTTCACATTCTAATCACTCGGAAAGGAGAGGAATGGCTCTGTACTTCAGCATGTGGACAAGGGGCTGACCACTGGACACTCACACCTGAATGTGGTTTGATCACGCAAGTCTCAGCCCCAGGAGCATCGTGTTAAATAGTTCCTTCAGGGGCTGGAGCGATAGCACAGCGGGGAGGGTGTTTCCTTTGCACGTGCCCGACCTGGGTTTGATCCCTGCATCCCACAGGATCCCCCGAGCACCGCCAGGAGTAAATCCTGAGTGCAGAGCTAGGAGGAACCCCTGAGCATCGCTGGGTGTGACCCAAAAAGAAAAAAAAAATAGTTCCTTCAGGTCAGCTTTATAATGTTTATGAGTGTTTATAAAAACCATTTATAATGTCTTATAAATATTGTTTGAAGATAAAATATTCCCGCTACTGGCAATCTGTACCTAAGTAGTCTCTATTTTTTTTTTTTTGGCTCACACTCAGTGACGCTCAGGGGTTACTCCTGGCTCAGCCCACAGAAATTACTCTTGGCAGTGCTCGGGGGACCCTACGGGATGCCAGGGGATGGAACCCAGGTGGGGGGTGTGCAAGGCAAATGCCCTTCCTGCTGTACTACCCCTCCTGGCCCCAGTAGTCTCTAATTTTTAAAGTAAAACTGTCCAAAAGGAATACGAAGTTACAGTATACTGTACAAAACGTTTCCAACATATACTGTACATAATATATCCAAGGATCCAAAGCAGGAAGGAACCACATACAACTAGTTTAGTTACACCCAGGGATGGGATATTTTCTTTAGGTATTTCCCAGGGGAAAATAGTCTGTTCATAAACCAAAAAAGCACAGGCTGGTTAAACTTTGGAAGCAGCGGTTTCAAGCAGTATGTATTTCTTTTCTTGAGTTTGGGCTACATCTGGCGGTGCTCAGGGCTGCCTCTCTGCCCAGCCTGAGGAACCCTTTGGGGTGTCACGTCTGGGACTCAGGTTGGCCAGCGAAGGCAAGCGCCCTCCCCGCTGCTGCACTCACTCCAGGCCACAATATGCTGTTTTGGAATAAGCAAAACGTACACGTGAACAAGCTGGGCAGGTCATTTCTTCTTCTGACTTTTTGGGAAGACAGGTGAGAACGAGCTTGCCTCTCTCCTTCCTGAGTGATTCAGTCTGGAAACCAGAAGGTGGGATGGAGTAAGGTCTGTGCCTTGGCAGCCTCGGAGGAGAGGCAGCGGGCTAGGGTGGAGCGTCAGAACGGAGCCGGGAAGAAGGTGCCCATGGAGGGAGCCGGCCCCAGGAATAGTGAGAATGCCGATGGGAGCACTCTTGCAGGGAACCCTAAGCCTGGATGGACAGAGGTGCACACGGCCCAGGGACAACCAGAGGCTCCACATGATGGGGGACTGCCACATGGGAGACAGCCACATGGGTCACAGCGGATGACTAGGTCATGAACTGGAAGAAGAAAAATGCTGGGCCAGATGGGGGCAGAGATAGGACAGTGGGGAAGTCACCTGACTGCATGAGGCGGACGTTGGTCCACCCCTGGCCTCCTACAAGGTCTCCTGAGCCTTGCCAGCAATAATGGTCCCTGAGCCCAAGCCAGGAGTGAGGCCTGAGCACTGCTGGGTGCAAAATGGCCCAAAATCAAGAGAAAGGGGAAAATGCTGGGCCAGTGGTGGAGGACGTGGCCTGCAGGCTCTGGTCCAGGGCCCTGGGACCATAAAGTCACCTGCTTGAGAAAGGTCCTAAGGGGAAAGCCAGGGTAGGAGCTGATTTAGGGAGTCCAGACAGGTCTTGACAAATCCAGATGTGTGCCTGCCCCAGACTTTGTTTGGATTTTCTCCCTCTGGCCCCCTTGTCTGCCACTGAGCCATCGCTGAGGACTGCCAGGGGTCACTCCTGAGGACAGAGCCAGCTGAGCCAGGTGTGCCCACGCCCTCTGCCCCACAGGAAAAGGAGGCTTGAACAGATCCTAAAGGCAGAAACCAAGTCACAGTAATGTCACAGGACTCACCAATTTCTTGTCCCCCGCGGACTTGAGCTTCTCCTGCAGCTTGATGGTGGTCTGCCGGATCCTCTCGATCTCCTCCTGCTGCTTGAGAATCAGCTGTCTCTCCTTCCGAGCCGCCTTGTTGGCTTCTTGGAGACGTTTGATTTCTGCCTACGGGGGAAGGAGTTAGGACAGAGAGTGCTATGAGAGAAGTCCAAAATCACATTTTATTCTTATTTTATTAATTTTTTTTCCTTTTTGGGTCACACCCAGCAATGCACAGGGGTTACTCCTGGCTCTGTAGTCAGGAATTACTCCTTGCGGTGCTTGGGGGACCATATGGGATACCGGGGATCAAACTTGGGTAAGCCCTGTGCAAGGCAAACGCCCTACCTGCCCTGGCCCCCTAAGTCATATTTTAAAAAGAAAATCAGATTGCATATACCAATGTGTGTACTGTATTTCAAGAGAAAATAACCTTGAAAAGATTAACAGTGGGGGGGGGGGGGAGTCATAAAATTCCATTATTTTAAAATATTTTAACGTGCACTCACTCCACAAAACTCTTCTACAAGGATCTTACTTGTATTTATTTTTTATTTATTTTTTTGCTTTTTGGGTCACACCCGGTGATGCACAGGGGTTACTCCTGGCTCATGCACTCAGGAATTACTCCTGGCAGTGCTCGGGGGACTATATGGCATGCTGGGAATTGAACCCCGGTCGGCAGTGTGCAAGGCAAACACCCTACCTGCTGCGCTATTACTCCAGCCCCAGATCTTACTTTCTAAAAAATGCTTTTCAGAGGCTAGGGATGTAGCTTAGTGATAGCTGCCTTGCCTTGTATGAGACATCACAGAATATTAATAACACATTCACTTCAAAGGACTGTTAAAAATTTTGTGTATTACATGAAGGCAGGCCTTAACTGGACAGTATTTAAATTAGCAATAACGCACAATTCTAATTTAGGAGAAACACAGCAGTTATTAGGCAACCCCTGTAAATACAGTAGTACGGGCATATACAATTGTGTGTGCCAACAAAATTTCATCGAAGGCAGTAATAAGAAAAAAGAATTGAGGCAAAATAATAGATAACACAAGCACGGTGGGGTATTTGGGCCACACCTGGTGATGCTTAGGGGTTAGTCCTGGCTCTGCGCTCAGGAGTTATTCTGGGGACCATATGTGATGCCGGGGATCAAACCTGGGTCAAGGCAAGCGCTCTCGCCACTGTTCTTTCTCTCCACCCCAGGACACTCTCTTAAAGGAATGTATTTCCTAACTTACCTTTTCTTGCTGCAGTCTTAAGAGCAAACCCCGCTGTTTCTTCCGGAGTGGGGGCATTTTATCATCTTCTCCTTTGTCTCGGAGATGTCTGAAAATATTTCCCAGGGAGACAAAGATGAGATTCTATTTTGATTCTAATGTCAAGAATTATGAAACCCCAAAAAAAAACAAACCATTTTTTTCTAAATCAATATAACATTTTCAGTATAAACTTTCAAAGCTGAAAAACAGCAGTTGTTTGCAACAATTCCTAAAACCAAGAAATTAAATATATGTAAACTTGAGACTTTTAAAAATCTTTCCTTGTGATCCTTTAGACAAAAAACTAAACATTTACTGATTATAAATCATAGAGAAATGTATTTTTTATCAAGTTTTTAGAAGTCACAGGACATAACCCACTGTTCAAGTAGCGAGACTCTAGACCGGGATAGGAAAGCTTTTTTCTGCCAAGGACAGAAATTTGGATATTTTTTATCCTCGTTCATGGCCACCGACAATGATCACAAGCCATCGCTACCACTAGCCTAGCATATACAAGAGCCAGACCACCTGCTTTAAATGGCCAATGGAACAGACGTTCCCCACGCTACTCTGGTCTTTGTCCTTTAAAGACCAAAGAGCTTTAAGGAATTTACAATAATAAAGCAACCAACTCAGCTCCTAAAATTGCCAATATGAGACTCAAACAAATTAAGAGTAAACTTAAAAAAAAAAATCAAAGCAAAATGCAAAGAAAATGTATGGGTAGAAGTTCTCGAAAGCAACAAAAAATGAAGTATGGTTCCTGCGTCTAGCTGGAGAACACCGTGCAAATGTGAGGGCTGCGATTGATCCTTTGCAAAAAGGCAAGCAAGCATTTCCTTTGACGAAAGGAAGAGCCGAAGAATAAAACCCACGTTCATCGAGAGAACTCACTTTTTCTGGTGCTCTAGCCAGGCTAGTTCAGCCTTGGTTTTTTCCTTCAGGGCCTTCTCACGCAGACGCAGCAGTGAAGACTGGTGAGCGGCCCTCATTTCCTCTTCCTTCATGTACTGGCGGACCATCTCCATGGTGAATTTAGAAAAGCTGTCCTGTCCGCCCGAGAACGGCATGCTCAGCTCCTGAAACAGAGAATGCACTTCAGATTCACCACCAACGGGCCTTACGGATGGCACGTCCAGCTCCTGAAACAGAGAACGCATGTCAGATTCACCACCAACGGACCTTTATGGAGCTTAATAATCTCAAAAAGAAATGCATTTATAAAAATAATTCTTATTGGGGCCAGAGAGAAAGAACAGCAGGGAGGGCATTTGCCTTGCATGCGGCCAACCCAGATTTGAGTCCCAGAATCCCATATGGTCCCTCAAGCACTGCCAGGAGTAAGTCCTGACAACTGTTGGGTGTGACCCCCAAAACCAAAATAAATAAATCTATTCTTTAAAAAAATAAAATAATGGGGTCACCAGTTGCCCCCCACGAGCGGCTCTCCAGCATGGCCACAGCCCCAGAAGCACAAGGACTTAATGCAGAACCCGACAGCTTGGAGCAGAAAAGTGAACGGACTATGCGTTAATCCAGGCCATCAGGTCTGTCCGGAGGGGAAAGGGTGTTGCCCCAGTCGCCTTCTCCTCTCTGGAAAGAAAGATGGCGGCCACATGGGAGCCTTGTGGACAGCAGGTATGAGCGGGGGGTGTGAGGGCGACTAAAACATCATGGGAAGGGGGACGTTCCAGTCCGTCCTTCACGCCCTACCGAGGTCACCAGTTTCCCCCCACGAGCGGCTCTCCAGCACGGCCACGGCCCCAGAAGCACAAGGACTTAATGCAGAACCCGGCAGCTTGGAGCAGAAAAGTGAACGGACTATGCGTTAATCCAGGCCATCAGGTCTGTCCGGAGGGGAAAGGGTGTTGCCCCAGTCGCCTTCTCCTCTCTGGAAAGAAAGATGGCGGCCACATGGGAGCCTTGTGGACAGCAGGTATGAGCTGGGGGTGTGGGGGTGACTAAAACCTCATGGGAAGGGGGGCATTCCAGTCCGTCCTTCACGCCCTACCGAGGTCACCAGTTTCCCCCCACGAGCGGCTCTCCAGCACGGCCACGGCCCCAGAAGCACAAGGACTTAATGCAGAACCCGGCAGCTTGGAGCAGAAAAGTGAACGGACTATGCGTTAATCCAGGCCATCAGGTCTGTCCGGAGGGGAAAGGGTGTTGCCCCAGTCGCCTTCTCCTCTCTGGAAAGAAAGATGGCGGCCACATGGGAGCCTTGTGGACAGCAGGTATGAGCGGGGGGTGTGGGGGCGACTAAAACCTCATGGGAAGGGGGACGTTCCAGTCCGTCCTTCACGCCCTACCGAGGTCACCAGTTTCCCCCCACGAGCGGCTCTCCAGCACGGCCACGGCCCCAGAAGCACAAGGACTTAATGCAGAACCCGGCAGCTTGGAGCAGAAAAGTGAACGGACTATGCGTTAATCCAGGCCATCAGGTCTGTCCGGAGGGGAAAGGGTGTTGCCCCAGTCGCCTTCTCCTCTCTGGAAAGAAAGATGGCGGCCACATGGGAGCCTTGTGGAGAGCAGGTATGAGCGGGGGGTGTGGGGGTGACTAAAACCTCATGGGAAGGGGGGCATTCCAGTCCGTCCTTCACGCCCTACCGAGGTCACCAGTTTCCCCCCACGAGCGGCTCTCCAGCACGGCCACGGCCCCAGAAGCACAAGGACTTAATGCAGAACCCGGCAGCTTGGAGCAGAAAAGTGAACGGACTATGCGTTAATCCAGGCCATCAGGTCTGTCCGGAGGGGAAAGGGTGTTGCCCCAGTCGCCTTCTCCTCTCTGGAAAGAAAGATGGTGGCCACATGGGAGCCTTGTGGACAGCAGGTATGAGCCGGGGGACTGGGGGCAACTAAAACCTCATGGGAAGGGGGGCATTTCGGTCCGCCCTTCACGCCCTACCGAGGCCACCAGTTGCCCCCCACTAGCGGCTCTCCAGCACGGCCACAACTCCAGAGCACAGAAACCAATTTCTTAACTATCTGACTTTCAGTAGAAATACTTCCAGGGTCAATAAGTAAAATAGCAGAAATCCAAAACCAACATATAATTCTTGAACCCAGCTGTAGACAGCAAATCACTTCACAATGCTTTGTCAGCATGTCTGATTTGGGGGGGTTGGTAAACTCTAAATAATAGTGGTGAATCTTTTATTGAAACAATGAATCTAATCAAAGCAGATAGAGTGTTAACTAGAATTCATCTGCCCCACAGGGACTGGGAGGGGTGGGGGGTGGGGTTTTATTGGGGTTCTTCATGGTAAAAAATAAGTTTTGGTAAAGGGAAATGTGCTTGATATTTGCATGACTGAGACCTAAACCTGAAAGCTTTGTAACCTTTCCCATGGTGATTCAATAAATAAATAAATTAATATAAAAAAAAAATAATGGGGCTGGAGCAATAGCACAACGGGTAGGGTGTTTGCCTTGCACGCAGCTGACCTGAGTTCGATTCTCAGCATCCCATATGGTCCCCTGAGCGCCGCCAGGAGTAATTCCTGAGTGCAGAGCCAGGAATAACCCCTGTGCATTGCCGGGTGTGACCCAAAAGGCAAAAAAAAAAAAAAATTAAAAAATTAAAAAATAAAACAAAACCCTGCTGGTGATGCTAAGAGAACAGTCTTCAAAAATAGGCCCCGAGAAGTGGCAGCATTTATTTGCCAGTAAATTTTGACCAAACCACTACTACTGGCTGGGTACCATTGCCGGGTACAGAACAGAGGAAACTTAGTCCTTGTGACCCAAAAGTCTTGCAATTTAATCAAATGCATCTTTTAAAATGGAAGAACATGTTCCATGAGTGAAGCAAGTGAGAAAGCGAACAGAGCACCATGGCTCAGCTCCTCAAAGGTCTCATGCGTCATTCTGAAGCCTGCATGTCTTCGAACAGGGAAGCACAGCCAAATCTTACAGGACACAAAAACAAAAACCCAGACCTGGAGCTGGAGTGAAAGTACAGACACTGGAATGTGGTCAACCTGGGTTTTGATCCCTGGCATCTCTATGGTTCCCCTGACCACTGCCAGGAGTGATTCCTGAGTGCAGAGCCAGGAGTAACCCCTGAGCATCATCGGGTGTGACCCCCCCAAAAAAAACACCTGAACAATAGCACAAAACAAACCCCCCCACTCACCCATCCCAGGACTGGAGCAATAGTACAGGTGGTAGGGCACTTGCCTTGCACACAGGTGACCCTCTGGGTTTGATTCCCAGCATCTCATATGGTTCCCCTGAACACTGCCAGGAGTGATCCCTGAGTGCAGAGCCAGGAGTAACCCCTGAGTATCGTCGGGTGTGACCCCAAAACAAACTGAACAAAAGCATACACAGGAAAAAAAAAAACCTCCACCCACCCACTCTGGGACTGGTAAGGCACTTGCCTTACACACAGTTGACCCTCTGGGTTTGATCCTCAGCATCTCATATGGTCCCCTGAGCCCTCCAGGAGTAATTCCTTCCTGTGTGCAGAACCAGGAGTTATCCCTGAACATTGCTGGGTTTGGCGCAAAAACCAAAAAACCAAACAAAAAAAAAAAAAAAGAAAGAAAAGAATCCCCAGCTAAAATCACTATCTTGGGAAAACCACTCTGGGAACAGACAAGCGAGGGGAAGTATGAGACGTCTCCGTGGGTCCCACACATCACGTGGTCCCTGTCCCCATCCCAGCCCAGCAGGCCCCGACAAAGTCTCCTGGTGCCCTGGAGGGAGGCAGCCCTGCAGGACACGTCACACACCTTGGAAGAAGATGGGGTCGTCTTCTCAGGGGACGTCTCTTCGTCCGAGTCATCGTGCTGGCCTCTTTTCTTTTCCATGTTGAATCGGCGATGGCTCTCGGAAGGTAACAGAGACCGGAAGGACTTCTCCTCTATTTCATCCTCTGTCATGGACTCGTCAAACTTCAGGGAATACTCTGTTGCGATTGAAGTTGAATCTAAGAGATCAGGGCAAAGAAGAGTTTTTCAGTGTTCGAAGCTGCCATGTGTAGTGTATGGTCATTCTGCCTCTTCTTATGGGACAATCTAACATAAAAATCCTAAAATAGACTGCAAGCAATTCACAAGTATGGAACAATAAAGTTCTATTTCCACTCTAAAAAGAAAACTCTAAAAATATCTAAAAAAAACACTAGCACACATGTGTAAGAGTGCTGTACTCCGGCATAACATGCTTTTATGAAATCAATCAGAAAACACTGTCACTATATAAAAATAAAAAACGGCCATCATCAGACATTCTACAATGACATATAGGTGACCCCAAAAATGCTTATAATTACTAGCAAGCAAAAACTAATTTTAGAACTTAAAAGACGACTTCTGGGGGCCGGAGCAACAGTACAGTGGGTAGGGCATTTGTCTTGCACGTGGCCAACATGGGTTTGATCCCCAGCAACCCATATGGTTCCCTGCGCACCGTCAGGAGTAATTCCTAAGTGCAGAGCTACGAGTAACCCCCCGAGTATTGCTGGGTGTGACTGACCCCCCCCCCAAAAAAAAAAGATGACTTCTGGGTTGGGTGCTGTGTGCTTCTACGATCTCTTACACGCTTGATTCTCTCAAACACCTTCATGTTCTAGTACTGTGACTACTCCAGGTTTTTTTCCTATGTTCTAGAATTGGTCAGTTCCCCGGCAGAGCCATTCGAGAACCTTCAGAAGCCGTAAAGAAGAGGTACCCGCTGCCTTTGGTTGTAACTGTGGAATAGCTGCCTCTTCCCTCTCTTGGCAGACACGAGGTGAGAATGTGAATGCAGTAACCCGTGTGGACAGACATGCATGCCCACATGCACGTGTGCACAACACACACAGGCTCAAAGATAAGGACATCCACACAACTACTCCCAAACCCATCTGCATCCACACAGGACTGATGCACCGACTCTAATTGGGCACCATCTCTCTTCAATACCGACAAACCAGGATCTCACCATCCAATATCCATTTACTTATTTATAAGCTCGATATAGATATTATTATTATTATTATTATTATTTTGCTTTTTGGGTCACACCCGGCGATACACAGGGGTTACTCCTGGCTCTGCACTCAGGAGTTACTCCTGGCGGTGCTCTGGGGACCATATGGGATGCTGAAAATCAAACCTGGGTCGGTCGTGTGCAAGGCAAACGCCCTACCCGCTGTGTATCTCTCCAGCCCCCATAACCCCAATGTGCACCCGCGCCCTCTACTATCTTAAAGGGTCTAATTCTTTGTTCTCTTCTTATACATGATTTGTTGATGACTGAAAGTACTGCAGCCAATTTCTATCTGGGCTATTACATCTGACATAATCACTATCAAGAAGCATATCCCTATTAACTGTTTAAAAGCTCCAATCATATGGGTTGTTATGATTCTGTTACATTACTGGCACAGAACAAAGGTGATTTTTTTGCGGGAGGGTGGAGCTTTTATGCACAGGCTCTCCTCGATTAAGTTCTGGCTCTCCTGGGCCCGTGATACACGCTGACATCAAAGACGGGCCCAGGTGACCAGCACTGAGCCACATGAGCGTGGACACACATTCACCAGGGCCTCACGGCACCGACTAGCTCAGCCACGGCTCCCCCTTGGGCTCTGGGCATCTCCCGACACCTGTGCCCATGAGACACACACGGACACGAGGAAGTGACCTTTCTCCTCAGGCAGGGACGGGACGCTGTCACTTTGCAGGGAGTCGTCCACGGCGGTCGGGGCCTGCTCCTCAATGGAGCTCTCCAGCTTCTCGGCGTGGCGCTTCTGCTCACTGTCCCTGGAGGACAGAGCCGAGGGACTGTCCTGGCGGCTGCTGTCACTGCTACTTCTGTTGACGCAGAGCAAAGACAGAGTGAAGGTCAGTGGTTCCGAGCATGGGGACAGGCTGAAGGATGAGGAGGCTGTTGAGGGTTCGGCAGCAGTCACCCCCGTTCAATCCAGGAAGTGAGTCAAGGGGAAATGAGAATTTGCTTTTGTTGGGGGGCCACAACCAGCAGTGCTCAGGGCTCATTCCTGGCTCGGAATGATCAGGGATCACTCCCGGTGAGGCTTGGGGGACCGTATGGGGTGCTGGAGACTGAACCCAGGTCGGCCGTGTGCAAGGCAAGTGTCCTACCTGCTGTCCTATCCCTCCAGCCCCATAAAGGACAATTATTACAGTGTCTGCAGACACAGTAGGTAGTAGTACTCAGTCACTACTGCGAAGTTCTGCATTCTCGGGATTTTCTGTCTTACTGAGGTGTTACAACATTTTGACAGTGGAGGTAGCCAGAACTTCAAAGAATGCTCAAAGTAGCATCGAGAACCTTCTCACTTAAGAATGGAACCCAAACTGGAAACTGTGCTGCTTCTATACAGATACTAATGACAATCTTATCTTGCAATGGTGATATTAAAACACAGGGGAACATCAAGAAACACAGATGGGGCTGGAGTGATAGCCCAGCAGGGAGGGCGTTCGCCTGGCACGCGGCCGACCCGGGTTCGATTCCCAACATCCCATAGGGTCCCCCGAGCACCGCCAGGAGTAATTCCTGAGTGAAGAGCCAGGCGTAACCCCTGTGCATCGTTGGGTGTGACCCAAAAAACAAAAAAAAAAAGAAAAGAAAAAAAAAGAAACGCAGATGTCAGCATCCCACAAGCAGTCACACAGGCTTGGAGCCAGATAAAGCGGGTCAGTGCCCGGGTGTGACACTCTGTGTGGCCAGGGGGAGCTCGGCATCCCGACTGAACCCCGGGGGCTCAGCTACAAGGATGATCTGCCTGTCGTGGGAGGTTGCTCTGAAGATAATGTACTCTGAGAAAAGCATGCAGAGCTTATACAATTGGGGTCCCAGGGAATTATACAATAAAGTCCGCTGAGAAAGCAGCACATTATTTATTGGCGTGACTGTTCTGTACACTTGCTCATTAAATAAGGAAAAGCCAGTGCTGGGGACTGAACGCAGGAAAACACACACACACACACACACACACACACCACACTGAACTACACTGCCAGCTCAACGCCAGAACTATTTCACTTGGAGAAACACACCATTTATGTAAAGAAACAGGATTACGACTGAGCAATGCCTCGGCCACTTGCTCGCTGCCCCTACCTGCGGTCACGATGCTTGTATCTGTGAGACTCGGAGTAGCTGTCAAACTTCGGGTGCTTTGAGTCAAAGGTGTCTTCCTTACTCTGAGCAAGTGAAACGGACTGATTTTTCCTATAGATGGAAAAGGAAAGGAAGACTGAGTAAGCATCTGAAGTCACAAATATGAAATTTTAATACTCCTGATCATTAAGGAACTATCTTTATAGTACAGATACCATGACGAACCGGTTACAAAATCCCTGAGGAAAGGGATTCAACCACAGAAAAGAACTAAAACTAACTTATCTTCTATAAGAAATAAACATAACCACTCCCAATTTCAAGAAATATGAACCAAAAAAATTAGAATTGAGTCTACAGAGATAGTCCACTCAGCTGATCTGGGTTCGATCCCTGGCACCCCACAGGGTCCCCTGAGTCTCAGCAGTCCCTGAGCACACAGCCAGGATTAAGCACTGAGCACAGCCAGTATGGCCCAACTCCCCCGCCCCACCACCAAATTAAACACATGAATTAAAGGTCAAACTGATTTAAAAAAAAAAAAGAAAAAGAAAAAAACCCCACAAAAATATGATCTTATCATTTCATCCTGCCTAAAAAATACTCGGTTGGGCCAGAACAGCAGGTAGGGTGTTTGCCTTGCATACACCTGACTAGAGTTCAATCCTCAGGACCACATATTACTGCCAGGAGTAATCCCTGAGGGGCACAGCCAGGAGTAAATCCTGAGCACCTCTGGTGGGGCCCCAGAAAAAAAACAAAAACAAAATTCGCTAGTAGTATTTAGTGCTTCTAGAAAAGCTTCTAAAAGCTTTAATGTGTGTAAGGTTCTATCTGTGCCCATGCATGAGATCCTATCTGTGCCCGAGTGCGGGGTCCTATCCATGCCCATGGGCAGGATCCTATCCATGCCCGTGCATGAGGGTGCTCACCTATCCGTTTCGGCTCTGGCCCGCAGCTGCCTGGCCATGTCTGAAGGGTGGTGCCGCTGGTGGTCATACAGCATGGCCAGGGGCGCGCCCGAGGCACTGATGGCCCCCGCGATGTGCGTCCGGGTCAACTCCGCCATCTAAATGCAAACACACAGTGGTGAGAGCAGATGTGAACATGAGGACAGTACAGGGACTGCGGGGGGCACAGAGCCCTGGACACAGCAGGTGGCAGCGAGTGAGTCATCGAGAAAGCACGGAGTCCGTCGTCTGGACTCTGAGTCTCAACAACTTTCTACAAAGATTTGGACCCCATGCTTTCTCAGATTCCGCTCAGATGGGAAAAAAGGACGAATCACACGGAAAAGCTTCAAGTCCTAAAATGAGCCACGGAGGGGCTGGAGCAATAGCACAGTGGGGAGGGCATTTGCCTTGCACGCAGACAACCCAGGTTCGATTCCCAGCATTTCATAGGGTCCTCCAAGCACCTCCAGGAGTAATTCCTGAATGCAGAGCCAGGAGCAACCCCTGAGCATCGCCGGGCGTGACTCAAATAGCAAAATAAAATAAAATAAAATGAGCCATGGTCTGTTAAGTCCTAAATGTCCCTAAAGGCGCCACCTCGGTCACAAGTTCCCATCCAAGTCTTGGGTAAGAACGAGTGTTGCTCAGGGTGAAAACAAAATGCACAGAGGGGCCTGCCAGCTGGCTCAAGTCAGCATGTGTCCTGCACGGGGCGTGGCCTGGACTTCATCCCCCGTGTGACATGGCACCTCCAAAGCCCCTCCAACACCACCGGGTGTGAACCCAACAATAACAAGAAAATGGAGTTGATCACATTCCTCTGTCTTACTCCCACGCCAACACACGCCATAAACGCTGCCTCGGTTTTCCCCAGGGGGTGCCTGTCCCCGAAGGCTGCTGCTGAAACTCAGGATCAGTCCAACAACCAAGTGACTTGCCCAGCGCCCGGCCCCGGGCTGGACTCCCGGTGTGATGCTCACCTCACAGATGTGGCGGGCTGCATCGGTGGTGAGCCGAGCCGTCTCCGTCTGCTGAGCGGCCATCTTACTGGTGGCCTCCTGCAGCACCTCGGCCGCCTCCCTCTGGGACCTGACCACCTGCTGCAAGGACTCCGAGTGGGCCTGCGGGAGGAGACGCAAACGGAGAAACCACGTCTAATCCCTCCTCGCCCAAGTCAAAGAAAGTTGATGGATCTGCCAACTCTCAAAACAACACTTAAGGGTCCGGAAAGATAGTCCAGCGGGGAGGGCGCTCACTACGCACACGACCCACCCAGGTTCAACCCCCGGCATCCCATAGGGTCTCCCGAACTCCACCAAGAGTGATTCCTGGGTGCAGAGCCAGGAGTAAGTAAGCCCTGCACACTGCTGGCTTGGACCCAACATAGATAAAAACCAACCACACTTGAAAAAGATCTGGATCGTGTCTCAAGCTCTACAGGCTAAAATCTGAAGCCTTGTAAAATCAGTGCTGGGGTTCAGGGTGCTACCCCTGGACTGTGATTTCAGGTGACCACCAAGACCCTCCATTCCCACTTCCGGCGTGAGGCCTGATTTCACAGGATCCTGTACAGTCACCAAATGACTTGCCCAGTGCCAAGTCCCTGGGCTCAACTTCTAGTGGTTTCGCCAGAAATGAACCCATGTAGCCGAGTTCATGAAACGCTATTGCCCTCTTTTTAACTCCTCAAACACGCAAAACGCTACATTGAAATACTGGAGTTGTTGTTGGCTGGAGCGATAGCACAGTGGGAAGGGCGTTTGCCTTGCACGCGGCCGACCTGGGTTCGATCCCCGACATCCCATAGGGTCCCCCGAGCACCGCCAGGAGTAATTCCTGAGTGCAGAGCCAGGAGGAACCCCTGAGCATCGCCGGGTGCGACCCAAAAGCAAATTAAGAAATACTGGAGTTGTTGCAAAGACACGACTTCAGGCTGGCATGACAAAGTGGCGGTGGGCAGTGGCACCTGAGCAGCGCGACTCCGCGTCTCTTCCAGCTGTCGCTGACACGCAAGGGCCTCCTGCTCGGCCTTCAGCTTCAGAAGGGCCAGGTCCCTCTCATGGCGCTGCTGCTGGGCCTTCGAAACAAGAGAAGAGCGACCATTAATCGGCAGAATCATTCAACAGGGTCTGGAGTATGCTCTTGCCTGGTGAGGACGAGGCCCTGGGTTCGACCCCAGGCACTGCATTTGAAAACTTAAGTTTAATCAACGTGTTTTCTGTCATCAAAAAAAAAAAAAAAACACGGAAAAACATGAGAAGTGAATCCTTCGAGAATTGCCTTTCTGACAAGAGGCATCTGCTGTTTCCTTTCAGTATTTTCCCATGCCACTGGGGTCTCCGAGGCCCCTCGCAGACACACTCAGCCAAACGGACCTGACCAAGAAGGTGTTGCATGCACAGGCCTCAAGAATCAGCCAGGGGCCAGAGCGACAGTACGGTGGGGAGGGCGTTTGCCTTGCACATGGCCGACCCGTGTTTGATCCCCGGCATCCCATAGGGTCCCCCAAGAACCTCCAGAAGTGATTCCTGAGTGCAGAGCCAGGAGGAACCCCGCCCTGAGCAGGCTGGGTGTGATCCAAAAAGAAAAAAAAATCAGCCAGGACACACAAGCAGTGCGTGGGGGCATCCAAGGATAACCACGGCGATGTTCGGGAGGCCGCCTTGTGCCAGGGCCCACAGCCAGGCTGGGTACCTGCTTGCATGTGCCCAGCTGCCCTCCTCTCTCCCCCCATCCGCTCTCACAGAGTGATGCAGAGCCGCTGGAGAGCAGACTCCTGCTACTTCACGCGTGAAAGCTGATCTCTGTTTTTTCCCCAAATTCGTTTACTGATTTGTGATGTTTTCCAAATGTTACTGCAATGCTGTGACTTCCATACTGTTCACGATATCTATCTCCTACAGTGTTCTAACCCCACAGCCACCGTCAGAGTTGGCTTCCCCCCACCAATCACCCACCCCCCACCGTGGTTATTTTAATCAAAAGAAAATGGGGGGAACCCCAACGCCACTGAAAGCTACAGAGGAAAACTCCACAAATACCTTGATGATCTGCGCCAGGGACACGCTCTCCTGCTGAGCCAGTGACACGCCACGGACCCGCTCGACATCTGTCAGGTGGCGCACGGACTCCTCAATGGCACTCAGATAGCTGAGCTCGGCGGCCATGCGGTGCTGGAGGCCGGCAGGAGAAAAGCGCTGAGAACCTGGAGGGCAGACAAGTGTCAAAGGCTCAGGATGTGGGCGGGAGCCATAGCACTGCGGGAAGTGCGTTTGCCTGGCATGCAGCTGACCAGGGTTCGATCCCTGGCGTCCTACAGGGTCCCCCGAGCAATGCCTGGAATGATTCTTGAGTGCAGAGCCAGGAGTCATTCCTGAGCATCACCTGGTGTGACCCAAAGAGAAAACAAAACAAAACAAAACCTCCAAAAAACACTGTCACTGTCACTCTCCTCCCGTTGTCATCGATTTGCTTGAGCGGACCCAGTAACATCTCCATTTTGAGACTTGTTGTTACTGTGTTTTGCATATTGATTACATCACGGGTAGCTTGCCAGGATTTACTGTGCAGGCGAGATACTCTCAGTAGCTTGCTGGGCTCTCCGAGAGGGGCAGAGGACTTGAACCCGGCTCGATTCCCAAACCCAGGCTGGCTACGCACAAGGCAAACATCCTGCTGCTGTGCTATTGCTCCAGCCCAAAAACAAAGGTTCAAATATTTTGACATATATTGACAGCTCCATTTCCTAAACGGTTTGTTTTGAGTCTAAACTAGAAAAGTCAGCGATCTGCAGGAAAGACAGTGATTTCTATGAAGTTTTTTTGGAAGGAAGTGGGGGTTGTTTTTGGTGTTTTGATCTTACCAGTGGTGGTCAGGGGCTGTTCCAAGCTCAGTGCTTAGGGATAACTCCTGGCAGTGTTTGGGGACCATATGGGGAGTCCAGAATAGTATCCAGGTCAGCTGCCCACCTTAGCCCCCATACCTTCTCTCGCCCCTACTTTACGCTACGTCATGTGTATGTATATGTGTACACATCCACACATGCTACATTTACAGACATTCAGGCATGCACGTGGGCACACAGCATTCAAGAAAACCCCCACAGAATTTCTCTCATGCTTTTCCATGTTTGCTTCCTGCACCGTGTTCAACGCTTTCGACCAGAATCACACTCATGGGGCTGGAGTGATAGCACAGCGGGGAGGGCGTTGGCCTTGCACACGGCAGACCCGGATTTGATTCCCAGCATCCCATAGGGTCCTCTGAGCATCGCCAGGAGTGGTTCCTGAGTGCAGAATCAGGACTAACCCCTGTGCATCACTGGGTGTGACCCAAAAAGCCAAAAAAAAAAAAAAGTCATGCTCAAGTGAAACACTTCCCGAGGGCCAGAGGAAAGGGAGTGGAGGGAACAATGGCCAGCAGCAGCCCCCAGCTCGAGACTTGCCTGGTGAGGGCGCCTTTTCTGACGCTGCTCTGCTGCCCGCCAGATCCGGGAAGGCAGCAGCAGGACCGAGCCCTGAGGAGGCGGACGGCATCATCACCGACGATCTCGATCTTTCTAAGGATGTTCCAGGGAGGTCGAACTGAAGGAGTTTTTGGGAGCTTGGAGATAGGGGAGAAGTCGGAGTTTTCTGAGACCGTCCCTTGTCTGATGAAACACTGGAGAGTTTTGTGTTATAAGGACATTATGAAAGAAAGGAAAACCACTTCAAGAACTAGAGAATCACTTCACAAGGCAGCACGCATCACCCTATCAACATTCGTTTCTAAAACTGTGATCTGGGCACTTACATAACAGAGTCATTATGTGTGGCCCCCCAAAAGCCAAAACAACAACCAAAAAACCCATGGTCTAAACTATACAGCACGAAGCATTTATCAACTTTGTTTGGCTATTCTATTTTAGAACTCTTAACTTTGTCATTTCGTCAATAGACTCATCTTTAAGTTTTCGGAATTCAAAAAACACCCACAAAGAAACTGAAAAACAACTGGCTAGCAAGGATGCATTATGCAGAACAGAAAAGCATTAAACATGATTGGACGTGATAATTATACTCAAAAACGTTTTAAAACAAAAATAATTTAAATTTTATTTCATAAAGTAATTTTTCTTTTTAACTTAAGACTACCCAGGACAAAAACTGAGCAGAAGGCAGTGATGAACAAAGTATTTTCATGATGAAAAGCAGTCACTTAAGGTGATTTGTAAGCAACAGTCTAAGTGCATCACAAGCGATGTTAAAAAAAAAGGAAAAAAAAATGGGGTTGGAGCAATAGTCCAGCAGGGAGGACGCTCGCCTTACATGCGGCCAACGTGGATTCAATTCCTGGTACCCCATATGGTCCCCTGAGCACTGCCAGGAGTGATTCCTGAGTGCAGAGCCAGGAGGAAACACCAGGTGTGACCCAAAGAGCAAGGAAAAAAAAAAAGCAGAAGGTTTTTGCTGAAAGAGGGCAGGACACAGAAGCACACATGAAAACAAAGGAAACAAACTACTTGTGCAGAGGAGCTGAGTTGTTAGAATCAATCTCTGGAGGTCACAGACTCCAAGCACCCTCCTGATGATAGGGGCTTGGTCAAAGAAACAACAGGAGACACAGAGACAGAGAACAGAGAGGGGCGGAGAGAGGGAGAGACTTTGAGTGTCAGGGCTGCAGGGGAGGGCTTGTATCCATCCTCTCTAAAATATACAGACTACAAGTACATGCAACATGGCAGTCTATTTCAAAGTACAACAACTCTAAGTGGACTCTGTGATCATTGTGCTATTGGAATTTGAATTCGATGTCCGTTATTATCCAAGAATATCGACTGCCTTACCTCAGCGTGTGCCCGGAGAGCTCCTCCAGAGTGTTGTCAGAGTCTGGGGCTTGCTCGTGGCCTCTGGCTGAGAGTCTGCTGTTGGCCCCTGACTTGCTCCCTCGGGGAGAGCCGCGCTCTGCACCAGAATGCAGCCGTTCCTCAGCGGGGACAGAACTCGGGACACTTCCGGAGAGTGACTCCCGCCCTGAAAAGCCGACGGCCTGCTGAGCTGACGCTCGGGAGCCTCCAGCCGAACGCTGACCCTTGGGTCAGGTGCCAGTAACCGGACAGTGCGTGCCCAGCGCTCAGGGCCAGGAAGGACTTCCCAGGGATGCCCGAACATCGCGAATGGGACGTGCGACTGGCAAATGGGTTTGAGCACGATCCAAGGAGTGTGACCCCCATGGAGGGCCCCTGCCCAGTGTCCCAACCCCAGTGAGCCCCAAAGCCACGTGTGCGAGACCCACAGCCACAGCGACAATAAGGGAACGGGGTCGCGAATAAACCGAAACAGTAAGTGCCACAGGGGCCGAAGCGATAGCACAGCGGGGAGGTCGATTGCCTGGCCATGGCTGACCCGGGTTCGATTCCTGGCATCCCATAGGGTCCCCCGAGCAGCACCAGGAGCGATTCCTGAGCACAGAGCCAGGAGTCAGCCCTGAGCATCACTGGGTGTGATCCAAAAAACAAAAAAAACAAAAATGAAAGTAAGTGTCGCAGCCAATGAAGGGCATGGGGTAGGAGCTCCGAGCACGGCGCGGGATTCTGCTTACACTCCGTTTTCTCCTTCTTCACCTTCTTCCCTTTCGAGGACGATGAACGCGAGGACGCAGCTGACGGGACCCCGGACGAAGGCAGGGAGGTGAGGTCCAGAGAGGAGGGGTCATAGGCCGACTTCCTGCTGGAATGTTCCTCCGGGACACCGAGGCTGCTGCCAACGCTGCCAACACATGCACCATCATCAGAGAAACAGCACCCACAGGAGCAGGGCACGAGACCACCCAGCAGAGAAGCCCCCACAGCTATCAGTTAACATGATCAACGCCTCTAAGTGGATTCTGTGACCACTGTGCTATTGAAATTTTAATTCAATATCCATTATTATACAAAAACAGGGGCCAGAGCAACAGCACAGAGGGAAGGGAGTTTGCCTTGCACAGGGCAGAACTGAGTTTAATCCCTGGCATCCCTTAGGGTCCCCTGAGCACTACCAGGAGTGATTCCTGAGTGCAGAACCAGGAGTAACCCCTGAGCAATTCTGGGTGGGGCCCAAAAAGCAAAAATAACAAACAAAAGCGCTGGGGGCACAGAGTCAGGGCCTCTTGCTCTTATAGGACCCCCCCCCCCAACCTCCGGGAGTGGTCCCTCCATCCCCCCCCCCGAGAGTCACTCGGACTCTGAGTTCTATTCCATCAATCACACGGGAGGCCCCAATAGCTACTCAATGCCACGAGGCTGCTGCTATTTCTTGGCTAAGGACCCCGAGGGGCTGCAGGCACCTGGGAGAAGCAGGATTCAAGCCCCTGCGGCCCGGCCCACTCTGAGTAGGTGCAGTGTCCCGAAGCCCTGACGTGGACAGGGCAAGCCCGTGCCACACGCCTGCCGGGCAGACAACCCTCACTGCACGGCTGCCTTCCGCCTCGGGAGTGTGGGCCACGCCGTCGGCACGCCCTTACTTAGGCTCCAGAGTTGATTTTCGGTCCGTCAGAGTCTCATTCCCCGAGGACGAGACAAAGTCATCTTCGTAGGATGCGCTGCTGGGTGGGGAGGCCGCAGCGTGCTCCAGCCGAGAGCCCGATGCTCCTCTTTCCAGCCTGTCCTCCAGACCTGTCCCAAGGAATGAGTGGACGCGTTTTGGATCGAAGAGTCAAAAGAACTGGCGGCCAAGCATCCCACAGTATGGATGGCCCAACACGGGTTAGGACGCCCTTCTTTGCTTCCAGCATTGCTCTTTTCAACTTATCTTTTTTGGGGGGATGGGCGGGGGAGAACCTGGGGACCAACCTCCCAGGAAGCCCAGAGGCCCCGCCCAGTGATTCCCAACCCCTGGGGCTGGGGGTACAGTGTGATGCTGGGGATTTCCCGGCCACGCCTGGCAACACTGGGGAGTCCACCCGCTGTGAGGCTCCGTAGCTGAGGTGAGACCGGGGATCGAACCTGGATCTCCTGCTCAATCTCACTCAGTCCCAACTCCTAAAAATCTAGTGGAAGGCTGCGAAGAGTTTAAACGATGCCAAGCAAGGAAAAAGGGAAGTCCCCACTGGGGGCTGGAGAGATAGCTCAGCGGGTATGGCGTTTGCCTTGCACACGGCCAACCCGGTTTTGATTCCCAGCATCCCATAGGGTCCCCCGAGCACAGCCAGGAGTGATTCCTGAGTGCAGTTCCAGGAGGAACCCCTGAGCATTGCTGGGTGTGACCCAAAAAGAAAAAAAAAAAAGAGAAGTCCCCACTGTCCTTACACACAATCCCTGCAGAAACACTGTCCTGGACTGATTTATGGTCTGGGTCTAGAAGCTCAGGGAGGCTCCCTTTTTTTCTCTCACCTTTGCCATGGAACTGGTAGGACTTTGTGAAAATATTAATGACACTATGCGGACTTCCCTTGGCCAGTTCTTCCCACGGTCCTGGGCTCGATCTGCCAGCCAGCTGACCAAAGAGTGGTAAGAACTTCTCAGCTTCCTTCTGAAACTCTTTGATAGGGTCATAAGCATTCCGTTCCCCGGCACAGAATTCCTTCTCCTTCAGGATCTCGGCCACCTTCAGAGGTGGCCGTCCCGTGGGGCTCCCCTCTTCTTCCGAGAGACCCCCCTCGCTAAGCAGCAGCCCCTCACTGACAGACTCTGTGCTGGAACCAAGGGACCGTCTGGTCTTGTCTTGGGAGGAAGTTGGCACTTCGGAGCCGGAAGAGTCCGCTGACCTCTTACACAGCTGGGCCAGCAGCCCCTCTGCCTTGGGGGTGGGAGATCGGATTCGGAAGTTCGATATGGCGCTGTGAGGTCGGATCATCTCTGGAAGTTTTTTGAATTCGCTGAGGTTGCCCACGCCCGGGAGGTCGTCATCGAACGTCGCGTGAGACACACAGGTTCCCAGCATCTTCTGGATTCGGGCGGAGAAGACGTCCTCGGCGTCCTCTTTGACCGGCGGACTAGGAGGCTTGGCCCACGGTCCAGCCTCGTGGGGCGGTGGATGGACGTCGGCGTCGGAGTTCCACACGGACCCATAGTTGATGTTGGCGCCGGCTAGTTTCTTGGCTTCGCTTTCGATCCTGCTGGACAGGGAGGCGGCTGTGAGCTTCAGGGCTTCGATTCGGTCCAGTTTGCTCTTGTACTGGCTGGCACTCGGTTTGAGCAAGGCATCGGGAACAGCAGCTGGTGAGGTCACGTACGGTTGAGGCAGAAAAGTCAATTGTCCTGAAGCCACGTTGGGAGTTTTCCTGGTTGGGAAAATAGATTCAAGATCCTGATGCGAGATTCCAACATGCTCCAGATTCAGGAGTTGAGAGAGTAAACTTCCGGCCGCGCTGGTGAGAGGCGGGGCCTGCGGCTGCGGCTGGAGACCTCGGGGACTCAATCTGTCAGGCTGCACCCATGTGGATTCCACCACGTCCCTTCTGCAGACAAAAGGCACGAAACGTCAGTAAACCGCAACAACTCACAGGGAAGCTGTCAGTTATTAAAAGTTAAGGTTTCTTGCCATTATCAAAGCAGATCCAGCGGCTAAAGCGATAGCACAGCGAGTAGGCCGCCTTGCATGCAGCCAACTGGGGTTCGATTCCCAGCATCCCATATGGTCCCCTGAGCACCGCCAGGAGTAATTCCTGAGTGCATGAGCCAGGAATAGCCCCTGTGCATCGCCGGGTGTGACCCCCCCCCAAAAAAAATGCTCTTACTATATTGTTCTGCAAGCTGCATTCTTCAACTAAGACACTGTATTTTTCCCCTGCTTTATTTTGGTCTTTGGGGGTCACACCCAGTGATGCTCAGGGCTACTTCTGGCTCTGCACTCAGGAATCACTTCTGGAGGGGTTCAGGCGACCATATGGGGTGCCAGAGATTGAACCCGGGTTGGCTTTGTGCAAGGCAAATGCCCTACCCATTGTATTACAGCTCCGGCCCCAAGACGTATTTTTTGAAAGCTACTAATTAAAGTCGCTTTAAAGCTGCAGGCACAATTCTGCAGACAATACTGGCTGCCTCCTGTCCGTGAAAAATAATGCAATATAAAGAGAAACGCTTCAGACTGTCAACTATTTACACAAACATATTATACATTATTCTAAACTTTTTTTTAGTTTGGGGACCATACCCCGTGGTGCTCAGGATTTACTCTTGACTCTGAGATCAGGGATCACTCTTGGCAGGGCTCAGAGTACCATACGGGGTGCCAAGGGTCGAATACGGGTCAGCTGCATGAAAAGCAAGCACTTTACCCATTGTACAATTTCTCTGGGCCCCTAATCAAATTACTTACTAAAAGCTAAGCATGGGGCGTGAGCAATAGTACGGCAGGTAAGGTGTTAGCCTTGTACACAGTGGACCCAGATTTGAACCCTGAGCATCACCAGGAGTGATTCCTGAGTGCAGAGTCAGGAGTAACCCCTGAGCATCACTGGGTATGACAAAAAAAACCCAAAAAATAAAAAACAAAAGCTCAGCATGTAACACACTGAGCACAATAAAATAAAGATATCACACCAAAAAAATTGATGCACCTCCAGCAATTAAATGTAAAACTATGAGTTTTGAGTAGAAATATACTGAGGGGGCTGGAGCAATAACACAGCAGGTAGGGTGTTTGCCTTGCATGCGGCTGACTCGGGTTCGAGTCCCAGCATCCCATAGGGTCCCCCGAGCACCGCCAGGAGTAATTTCTGAGTGCGTGAGCCAAGAGTAACCCCTGAACATCCCCGGGTGTGACCTAGAAAGAAATACACTGAGAGCAGGCTGTCCACAAAATTTAGGAACTGAATAAAAATGTTGTTACATAAGTCACCTATGTTTCCGGAGTAAAGGGAAGTAGATGAAGGGACACTGTAAAAATACTCAAAGCTGATGCCGAGTATTACGAAGCTCCCGGGCAGGCATGTAGCTCAGTGACAGAGGGCATGCTAATCATGCCTGAGGTCCTAGGTTCAATCCCAAGCATCACAAAAATGAGAAAAAAGAAGAAAAAGGCAATCTTAGAAAAATAACAAGAAATTTTGTCCTCACCCCTGTCCATCATTTCGGGATGGTAACACAAAGAGTTATCAGATGTGCAGACAACAGGAACCTGGCCAGCACGACCGAATCCGATCACGATTCAAGGCTGTTTTGACAGCCCGTCAACTCAGACGAAATCCGTATGGTGGAATACAAAGTCTGACCCACTGAATTTTACAAAACCATCCCGAACCAGGTAATCCTGATTTGAAAAGCATATCATGCATGGCTTGACATGGAGTTACAGGGTAGCAGTCTTGGTTGTGACTGGGTTTGGGGGCCCTTCCTGGCAGTACTGGGGGGCCTTAATTAGGGTGTGCTGCCATCGCGCTCAGGGAAGAAGCTGTGCAGGGGACTGAGCTTGGGCATTCGCTCAGCCCTTTAAGCCTTTTATCTCCCTGGCCCCTGTCACGGTCACCTAAGAAAATGAGACGCCACGTGGCAGGACACAGACTAATCAAAGGAGCAGGGTCACAGAGACACTCAGAGGGCCAGGCACAGGTTCTGCAATTCGGGAAGCCCAGGCGAGAGGGGTCCCTCACCCTCCACCCCACAAAGTGATAGGTGTTAGCAGAACCCAAACAAAGATGAAATAATGGGGGGGGGACTTATAAACAGAAATGAAGTATCTTGGATCACAATCCAAAACCTTCCAGAGTGCTCATTTTCAAGCAGGTGCTGCTCCTGGCAGAGAATGAATGGGGAGACAGAAAAGGAAGGAGGGCCGGAGTGATGGGACGGCAGGGAGGGCTGCCTTGCACGCGGCTGACCCGGGTTCGATCCCCGACATCCCATATTGTCCCCGGAGCGCTGCCAGGAGGAATTCCTGTGTGCAGCGCCAGGAGTCAGCCCTGAGTATCACTGGGTGTGATCCAAAAAGCCAAAGAAAGAACACAGGTCAGCTGCATGCAAAGCAAGCCATTTAACCATCGTACAACCTCTCTGGTCCCCTAATCAAATTACTTACTAAAAGCTAAGCAAGGGGAGGGAGGAAGGGTGGGAGGGAAGGAGGGAGGGAGGGAGGGAGGAAGGAAGGAAGAAAGAAAGGAAGGACTGGCAGAGTGATGATTTATCCCCATTCAGGAGCTGAACAGCCAGTTCAGAGAGCTCAGGGCATCCTCTGCAAGCAGGCGGACTAGATCTGATCCCCAGGACTATGTGGTCCTGAGCATCATCAAGAGTGACACCCACCACAGAGCTGAGAGTAGCCCCTAAGCATCACCATGGCTCAAAAAAAAAAAAGAATTAAAATTCAGTTTAAAAAAGACTATCTAAATCTATACTAAGCTCCTCCCCAGCTGAGGAATTCCTTCCCTTTCCCTTCTACTTTCCAAAGTAATTTTTCTATTTCAAAATAAGAAACAGACTTAACCTCTACTCTTCAGTATCATAAATCCAAGCAGAGACTGAGATGAGCAAACAACTGAAATACCAGGTCTTTAAGAATCAAGCAGGGGCTGGATCGATAACACAGCGGGTGGGACATCTGTCTAGCACGCGGCCGACCCAGGTTCGATCCCCAGCATCCCATAGGGTCCCCTGAGCACCGCCAGGACTAATTCCTGAGTGCAGAGCCAGGAGTAATCCCTGAGCATCGCCGGGTGTGACCCAAAAAGCCAAAATAACAAAAAACTATGAACAGGTTGGAGATCTGAAGGCAGGGAGGCTGGGGTGCAAGCTGTGCATGCAGGAGCCCCAAATTCAATCCCTGGCACCACAGGTACCACCGAGTCTGTCCCCAAGCAGCTGGAAGAAGACAAATGACTGTGAACAGGAAAGGAAAAGGGAATGTTGGGAAGACAATGAGTGTGTGAATCAGATAAGGCTGACAGAAGTTCGCTCTCAAAGGGCAGAGCAGGTAACAGGGTCCAGATGGCAGTGGACGCCTGGCTGCTGAACGGCCTGTGACTTATTCAGCGTTAGCCGGAAATGCTGCGAAGGTCAAGGCTGGAGATCGGAAGCCAGTGAGGCAGGTCTGCAACAGGATTTGGAGGAATGGAAGCGTGTGCATCACTAAACGTACCCACAGTCTGGAAACGGCTGGGATTCATCTATGCTTAAAATCTGAGATATCTTTACAAACTAAACAAAATCATATTGAACTTCGAATTGGGAAGATACTCCATAGAGTGGTTTACAGGCGAGGTCTAGGGCCAGAGCAATAGCACACCAGGGAGGGCGTTTGCCTTGCACACAGCTGACCAGGGTTCGATCCCCAGCATCCCACAGGGTCCCCCGAGCACCCCCAGGAGTGATTCCTGAGTGCAGAGCCAGAAGTAAACCCTGAGCATCGCCAGGTGTGACCCCCTCCTGACCCAGGAGAAAAAAAAAACAAAACAGCACAGGTCTCTGGAATCAGATTGTTTAAGTTGGAATCTTTCTTTATGAGTAACACTAAACCTTTGAGAAAGTTAAGATTCTTGGTCTCAGTTACCTCTCCTGTGAAACAGGAATAATACCAGCACCAAACTTGAGGAAGTACAAGGATTAAATAAGAATATACACTTGAAATACTTTAGATCAGGGCTTAGAATCTAAAAAGGTCTCAGTAAATATTATTTTTGTCATTATTATTCCTTGCTGGGGAGTAGGGATGAAGAAGGCAAGAGGATAATGTATTCAAAACTGGACATTGATCTAAATTTTATCTGTGCATTCCCCAAAGTCTCAAAATCTTTCTCTTCCTAAAACGATTACTGTAAACTATAATTTATGACCACGCAATCTTGAAATCATCTCATTTTCTATGCACAGTCTACATCACGGTTTTGAAAATAATGTATCACAGTAAAACATTTTTTAAGAAAACTTCAGGCAAAATAGCCCACCCTTGCTTATCTGAAATCAAATCTAATCTTGTCCAAATCCTTGTTCCTATGCATATCCAAATATAGGGTGCTGAGTGGTGAGAGTGCTAAGTCGGTATGAGCCACCGGAACAAACTATAAATACAAAAGGTGATAAAGTGCCTTTTTAAAAATTTTTCAGCATAAATGCTCTTACATTAATTCATCTGTGACTCAACATACTTTCTACTATGTTTAGTTCAGGGAAAGCAAGAATGGTTCTGACTGCGGCTGGTCAGAGCCAAGTTCACATCCATGGGCTATTAAAAGTCAGGTAGAAACTGGACAACAGACAAAGATGCGAGGTCCACTCACGAACGGGCATGCCCAGGGCTCAGAGGTCACCAGAAAATCCTAAGAAACACTAAGCTCTGCGCTCCCAGAAGGCCTCCAACAAGATGGACTGAGACCAGACCGCTGGGCTCCATTTCAGGGGAAGCAAGACCCTCGCCCACGCCCATCTTGCTTTACCTGGTGAGAGGCTGTGGGGGCTCAGAGAGGGACATGTCGCTGCTGGACGATGCGCTGGGGGGACGCTCCTGCACTTTGTTCTCTTTGTCCGACTCCCCGGAGGGCTGATACCCTGGTCTGACCTAGGAGAAAACCCATCGGCACTCTGAGTCCCACAGAGGCAGGCACGCAGGGACCACGCGAGAGAAAGACCGAGTCCTTCCAGTCTGCAACGGCTGAGTTGCAGACGTCTCCCGCTCGCAAAGAAAACAGTTCAAGCTTAGTTTGAAAAACAGCTGTCACTGGACTAAAGCGATAGCATAGCGGGTTTGCCTTGCATGCAGTCAACCCGGGTTCGATCCCCAGCATCCCATATGGTCCCTGAGCACTGGCAGGAGTAATTCCTGAGTACAAAGCCTGGAGTAACTCCTGTGCATCACCAGTGTGACCCAAAAAGCCAAAAAAAAAAAGTCCTTAAAACAAACTACAGGGGCTGGAGCAATAGCACAGCGGGGAGGGCGTTTGCCTTGCATGCGGCTGACTAGGTTTGATTCCCAGCATCCCATAGGGTCCCCCGAGCAATGCCAGGAGTAATTCCTGAGTACAGAGCCAGGAGTAACCCTTGCACATCGCCAGGTGTGGCCAAAAAAAAAAGAACTGCAGTAGATCATGCACATGTGTGGTCTCAAAGCCATCCTGACCAATCTTAAAACAGGATTAAATAAATTCTATATTTATGCACACACACACACACACACACACACACACACTCTGGCTTCAGCACAGACTGTAAAACTAGGCCTTTATTTGTTCGGCTCTAGGATGGGAATCTGGCAGTTTATGAACGAAACTTGGTACATGTCCTGCAACAAACCGCAATGACGGGAGCTATCACTAACAATCCCTCCAAGGACCGCCCGACACCAATTTTCCATCATAATGACCAAATACCAATTTCATGGAAGTCATCACTGTAGCAGTAACTGCTGAGCCAGCCTGGGGCACTGGACAGAAAGGGCAGCGAAGCGGCTGCTCGGTCAGGAAGGATGCCCTGAGTCCTGCCCCCTCCCCGCTCCCCATCTCAGCCTGTCCCCACCCGGAGCCCCGGGCCGAGTCCCGCCCTGTACCTGCGTGTCGGGCCCGGCCTGCGTCCGTGCGGGCTCCTCGAGCGGGCCCCTGCCCAGCAGCAGTCTGGAGTAGGTGTCCTGCAGCCGCCGGGGCGCGGGGGCCTGCTCGGGGGGCGCGGCGCGGCCCTTGGCGAAGGCCTCCCTCTGCTTGCGGTACAGTTCCTGCAGCCGCTTGTTCTTCTGCTCCGTGGCCTCCTTCTGCGCCCGCTTCTCCTCGCTCTGCTTCCGCTTCCGCTCCTCCTGCTGCCGCACGATGTACTGCCGCACCTCGTCCGAATCGTAGTGGCGCTTCTTGGAGGTGACGGGCGGCTCGTCGCCGGCCGCCACCTTGTCGGGCTTCCTCTTCCCGGGGCTCTGGCTCCTGGGCACGGGGGCCGGGGCGGCCACCGCCTGGTTTGGGACGTCCCCTCCAGCGTCCGGCCCAGGCGCCTGGGCCGCGGGCTCCAGCTGCAGATCGTCCAGGATGCCGCGGATGGCGTCGGGGAGGAAGTCTGCGTTTAAGGCCGCCGCGTCCTCCTGCTGCGGGTCCGTGAGGGCCGGCGCGGCCTTCCGGGTGCTGCTCTCGGCCCGTGGCCTGCTCCGGGCCCGCTCCATGCTGCGTGGGAGGCGCCTGGGCGCAGCGTCTAACCTGGGCTCGGAGTCGGCGCGCCCCAAGGTGGCCCCTGTGGACAGTCGGCTGTCAGTGACCACTGCAGTTCTAGGCCCGCTCTCTGACTGACCGGGGAAGTACCCACCAGGCACCACAGCGCTGTCCCTCCCACCACGGTCGCTGGACGCTGTCCTGCGCTCTCTCTGCTCCATCCGGGGCGCAGGGCCCAGAATCTTCTTGACCAACTTTTGTCCATCTCGCCAGGAGGACGTACTGATCAGACGACTGCTACCTAAAATATTTACACATTCAGAGAGGTGCTCACGTATGACTGCAGTTAATAGCATTACGGCCACAAAGCTGCTATAAAAATACATAGACAAAATCTGCAGAGATGCTTCCGCGCCAGGCTGTCTCATCTGGGGCACCTAGAGGGGGGTGGGTGGGGTCCCCATCTTCCCAAACTGGGCCCTGACAGCCGAAAACCTCCACAACCCAATCATCACCACGCTCCTGGCTGGACTCTGCACAAGTCTCAGCCAGAAACTGATCTGTTGAAAAACTCAGGAATTGTGACTGAAATCTCCAGACTCTCATGGAGCAGGAGATGGGCGACCACCCCCCATCTCACGTTCTTCCGGGATCCTGGCAGTCACCCCGTGAACTGCCTCTGGGGCCATATAAGCTCATTAATGGCCATGATCCAGAGACTCAAATAAATCTCAAAAGAGATCAGCGAGCTGCAGAGATGCTTCCGGACCCCAAAGTTAACATCCCAATAAAAATTTAACCACAGCCCTATCACCCCTTTCAAAATTTTAGAATTCCTGGAGCATGTGGCTGCATTTTCAACTATGCGACATCTTATACTCTATACTACGAAAATACCGGAGCAGCACACCACATTGGATAAAATGCAAAATAGACAGCAACCAGTCTCAATTAAGAAGATATTAACACACAAGGCTTAACCTGTAACAACATGTTAATCTCTTACACAAGGGCCTAATGGCTCCTGGGTGAGATTCAATAATCTTTACACTTTTTCTTCTAAGGAAATCTTTTAAAATCATTTTTAGCAAATTATCCATAACAAGTAATATAAAATAAATTATTTAGGGCCTGCTATTGGGGCAGGCTTGGGTGAGGGTTGGGGAAATTGGCAATAATAGTGATGGGAAGGCACAATGGTGGTGGGATTGATGTTGGAATATTGAATGCAATAAATCATCATGAACAACTTTATAAAAAAATTTAATTTAAAAAAATATATACAAAATCATACCATGGCTATTTTTCTTTCTTTCTTTTTTTTTTTTTTTTTGTTTTGCTTTTTGGGTCACACCTGGCGATGCACAGGGGTTACTCCTGGCTCTGCACTCAGGAGTTACTCCTGGCGGTGCTCAGGGGACCCTATGTGATGCTGGGAATCGAACCCAGGTTGGCCACATGCAAGGCAAACGCCCTGCCAGCTGTGCTATCTCTCCAGCCCCACCATGGCTATTTTTCAATGGCACCTTCTGTGACACTCTATTATTATATGTAACAAAAGACTTTTTGCTCAATTTGCTCGAGCAAATCGATTAACAATGGGGTGACAGTGATAGTGACAGTGAACAAAAGACTTGTGGGCAGGGCCCAGAGTGATAGTACAGCAGGTTGGTTATTTGCCTTGCATGCAGCCAGCCCGCCAACCAGGGTTCAATCCCCGACATCCCATCCGGTCCCCTGAGCACTGTCAGGAGTCATTCCTGAGTGCAGAGCCAAAAGTAAGCCCTGAGAATCACTGGGTATGATCCAAAAAGCCAAAAAAAAAATTTTAAAACAATAATTTTGGGCAGGAGCAATAGTACAGAGGGGAGGGAACCTGCCTTGCCTTTGCCAGGTTTGATCCCTGGCACCACAGATAGTTCCCTGAGTCCCTTAACAGACTGATTCCTGAGTACAGTGCCAGAAGTAAGCCCTGAGCACCGACAGGCATGACCCAAAAAACTAAACATATCTACAAGAGGCATTCTAGCAGAGCAAGGAGGAGAAAATGTGTCCCATGAAATCACAGGATCTGGCTCTGGTGCATGACGGGACATGTATGTTTCCCGTAGCTTTCCACCTGTATTAGGTGGCTTGAGGACAATGTTCTAATATCCAAAACGCAGTAGGCGGGGGAAAAGGTTTCCCAGCTCTGTATCAAGAGGGTTTCACTGGACCAGGAAGAGAAGTGTTTCAATGTACATGCAGAGGAAGGCCTGGGGAACCTGGGTTCAACCCCAGGTACTGCCAGCTCCCCTGAACACTGTTGGGAGTGGCCCCTGCCAGCACCACCAGGGTTCAAGCCCCAGCCCCAAGACCTGTGCCAGAAGTTGCCACTCAAAACCACCTAGTTTGGCTGCACTAAAAATACACACCCAATGGCACAGTAAAGAGCTAGGAATTGATGGATTAGTGCAAAAAGTCTAAGCTCCCTTTCTGTTGACAAAATATCCTAACAGAAAATGTGTTCATTCTAGGCATTGAAAAAGGGCTTGAAAGTTCAAACATAAATACAGTTTTAGTAAAAACATTATACTACAGTTCAGTTTTGAAATGTTTTTGCACCCTATGAATCTAAAACAATCTAGCTAAATATTTTGTGTGGTTTTGTCTTGGTTTTCTGGTTTGGGTCCACACCTGGCAATACTCAGGACTTGTTTCTGGCTGTGTTCAGGAATCATTCGTGGTGGGGCTTGCGGGACCATCTGCAAAGTCCAGGACTGGACCCAGGTCAGATGTTTGCAAGGTAAGCCCCTTGACCCCCAGACTATCTCTCTGGTCCTCTCTCTTAAAATACTTCAAAAGGTTTTAGGTCTCCGTTAATAAGAAATGTTATGTTCATAAGCATAATAAAAGAATAGGCTTCTCTGCAACCCTAGCCTAATATTCTCAGCCAAAAGCAAGCACCCATGTATATATTGGACAACTATTTATAAATAATGGCCTCTGAATATGCCGCATAGTTATTTTCAAATTTTGGTTTTCTGGGGTAGCTTCATGCATTGTTGGCAGTAAAGCAGACTTTTAGCATAGATGAAGTATTAATATAGCTTGAGCACATTTAACGACACTCTTAAGTTACTGCCAGAGTATAGCCTTGGCACACCACCACAAAACTGGAAGAGTTCTGACCTCTACTCAAGGTCAAAATTGCCCGGCATCTCATTTCAAAGTTCAGCTTTGACACTAGTTTTGTATTGTATCACTCAAGAAAGAAATATCACTCAAGAAAGAAATACTCTGTCTGATTTGGTGAAAGACAAGAATTAAGTTACTTCACACTCAGGAAAGTTACTTACACGACTGGGAAATTTTTTTTTTTAAACTAGAATTTTTTATTTTGTGGATGCCACATTTTTTTTTTAACGACTGGGAAATTTTAATGTATTTCTACACAGAGAGGATCCTTCTATTATGACTTCGAGAATAGCAGATGTGAAGAAATTTTGCCCTCCTATTGATTAGTCTATGCCTAGAAAAACAAAACACCTGGTGAAAAACACTGATCTGGATTGGTGGGGGTGGGGGATGGGGGGGAACTCCAAGAGTTGGACTTGGTGCTTGGCATGTAGGAGCCCCAAGTTCCATCCCGACACCCCATATGTCCCTCGGACACCAGGGCCAGGAAGAGAGCTCGTGGGGCTGGAGCCCACGCCTTGTGCACGCAAGGCCACACTCGAAGCCAAAAGTTCAAGCCCAGGTTCAACATGGTAAGGAGTCCCCAACCCTCACATCTTATTCTACCTTGACTCTGCCTGACTTCTACTGAAAATGGTAGGAACAGGGGGCCGGAGTGGTAGTACAGCAGGAAGGGCGTTTGCCTTGCAGGCGGCTGACCCGGGTCCGACCTCCGGCATCCCATAGTGTCCCCCGAGCACCACCAGGAATAATTCCTGAGTGCAGAGCCAGGAGTAGCCCCTGAGCATCGCAGGGTGTGACCCAGAAAGAAAAAAAAAATAGGAATAATAATTCGGAGGGTGATAAATGAAGTTTGCCATCACGGGGAATGTGTGGTGTAAACAGACATGAAAACTTACCATGTATATTCTAGGCACGTAGAGTTTCTTCAACATCAGTTATGCACTCAGTAAAATGCACGCAAATGAAAGAATTTTAGCAAAGGGCAGTGGAGCTGTGTGTGCCTCGCCAGGAGGATTCCAGGGAGCAAACACCACAGAACGTGCTGATGCCACAGAGTTTGGGCAGGGGTGCAGGAGGGACTGACCTGCTCTGCATTCCGAACTCGAAAACTGTGCTACCTTCTGGACTTTCCGGACCGGCTTGACGATTTTCTTCTCCTTGTTTCTGTCAGCAGGCTTGTCTTTCACAGAGACATCATCTGAAAAGCAGGATCGACCATCGTGTACTTAGAATGATTCCTACTCGTCCATGCCACTGTCCCCCAATTATCGGAATCTGTGTCAGGCAGTGGAAAGAGAATTCTCCACTGAGAAGCTTTCTCTCACCTGCACACTGCCACTGTCCCTTCTCTGGTGGCATAGTCAAATATTACCCCTGACTTAGAAAGGGCTGAAGATTGAGTTCCCACTGTTCCTGTTTTCAGGATGATCCTATTTGTAGAATCTCAGAGGCATCCACTTTCAGAAATTACTGGTCCATCTAAATATGCCTATATAACTTAGTATCTGTGAGCTGCTAAAATAAACCTTACAGAAACAGACAACGGGGGGGTTGGGGGGGGCAGAGCAATAGGACAGCAGGCAGGACGTTTGCACTACATGTGACCAACCAGGGTTCAATCCCCTGGTTCAATCCCTGCCATCCCATAGGATATCCTGAACACCCCCAAGACTAATTCCTCAGTGCAGAGTTACCCCTAAGCATCATTGGGTATGGCCCAAAAAGCAAAAAAGATGCAGAAACAGTCAATAATATATTCCTACATTAGGCCCTCCAGTGCCAGTAAAATGTTGAGCTATTTCACATACAGACTAGTACTGATTTGTAAAATTCCAACCTGGGGACATATACATGTAAGGGTGAAAATTACCCCCAGTTACAGATCCGGACAAAATGTGCTTTACAGCATATCCCAGGAAGCTGGAGACAGCACAGGAGGTAAGGCACTTGCCTTGCATGTGGCCAGCCTAGCTTGATTCTATGGCACTGCATACAGTCCCCAGGGCACCGCCAGGATCACGCGAGCCAGGGATAACCCCTGAGCACTGTTGGGTAAGACCCCAATGAAATAAATAAGGAAATCAAGAACATCTCAAGCACCATATCCTGGCAAAGCAGACGTGAGCAGGAGCCAAAGGGCCTCTGGCCTGCACATCCGTCATGTCTAAGGAATAGTGAGGGGGCGGGGTGGGGGTGGGGAGGAGAGAAACACAATGAGAACGAGGACGCAAGACCGGGCTGGGAGACCAGGGGTGCAGAATCTCAGCTTTCACTCAAGAGTGAGAAGATAAATCTGGGGAGGATTTCAATCAAAGGAGTTACAGGATCTAAGTTTACATTTTAGAAATGCAACTTTTGTCATCGGGAAGTGCAGATTCGCGAAGAGGGCTGGCCCGGGAGACCAGTCAGAAGGCAGCTGCAGAATCCAGGCAGGTGGCAAGATTCCAGGGGTTAGTGAGAGGCAGAGAAAGTGGCCGCATTTTATTTATTGGTTTTGGTTCTTGAGGTCAGGGGTTGCTCCTGGCTCTGCACTCAGGAATCACTCATGGTGGTGCATGGGGCACCCTAAAGGATGCCAGGGATCCAACCCAGGTTGGCCACATGCAAGGCAAATGCCCTCCCTACTATACTGTTGCTCCGGCCCTGAGTGGTTGAGACTTCAGACAGTGTTAGATTCAACGAAGCATGGAAGAGTGACTTGAGATCTGGGTCCTGGGAAGGGTAAGATCATGATACAGAGACAGACAGAGGAGAAGGGTTAAGTGGCACAAGACAATCCTATTTCTTTAGTTCTATTTTGAGCACATGAAAATGGCGTGATGAACCTCTCCGACATACAAGTGGGGGGAGGGAGGGAGGGAGGGAGGGAGTTAGCTGCTGTCCATGAATCTGATCTCTGGCCCAACACGGTTCACCAGTGGAGCATTTGCCTTGGATGTGTTGGCCCTAGGTTCAATTCCTGACACCACTAAAAACAAAACAAAACAAAAAAATCTGAGTTCAAAGAACTGTGAATCAAGCACATAAATCTGGGAACTATTTATTCGCACCAGAATACTTAAAGTCCCAAAAGTAGATTTTTTTTTGAATGGAGGAAGACGAGAGAGGAGGAGGAGGGGAAAGGAGGAAGAAGAGGAGGTAAAAAAAAAAAAGGCACGTAAGCAAATTGGGGAAAGCGGGGCCAGAAGAGGAGGAAAGAAAGACGGAGCCAAGTCCTGAGGCCACAGCACGCCAATGCCCAGAGACCCAGGTAGTCTGGCAAGCAAGTGTTTTGAAAAGGAGGAAATGACGCTGCGTCCTCCATGCCAAACGGAGAGTTTCCAGGAAGAAGGGACTGACCACACGCAGCATGGCGAGAGATGGCAAGGGAGACAGCTGGGAGCTGAGCAAGGATGGGGCAGGGAGCGACTCAGCGCGGCGCCCAGGTCTACGGTCCACAGGGTAGCGGGAGCAGAACAATTCAGAAACTATTCGAGAAGGGAGACAGCAGAAGCCGAGTGTACGGCGACTTTCCCAAGCTTTGCAGTGAGGAGGACAGAGATGGGGCGCAGCGGAAGAGAAAGGAGGGGGAGGGGGCTTCGGGGGTTGGAGATACAGCACATCTCTGCATGCAGGGGGCCCCGGGTTCAAGCCCCCAAACCACATGGTGCCCTGAGTACTGCCAGAAGCACCCCTGAGCACTGAGCCAGCACAAACTGCCCCCCCCCCAGCACCGCCAGGTGTAGACCAAAACAGCAAATAAAATGAAAACGGAGCTTCTTATGAGATGGCTGAGGGAACATTCTGGTCCAACAGTGTGTGGGAGGGACAAGCTACTGATAAGCCAGGAAAGAAAAGGGACTGGACGAACAGCCTTAAATCCACAAGAACAAATGGAAATGGGTACACAGGGAGACAGGCTGAAACAGGCTTTGTCATGGGAGACAGCCCATGACAAAGATGAGACCAATCCTACCAGGCAGACCTCTGCAGGAATCCCGACATACAGATCTGCCGGCCTCGACAGAGCCGACAATCCCCATTTCACAGATAAGGGAAGCGGGAGGAGGCGCCATCCCCCAGAGACAACAGGCCTCACCGCGCATACGGCACAGCCGGAATCTGAAACTTATAAGCTGATTCCTAAATTGCCAACTCCAAAATCTTTACTTCAGCTAGGGTTTTATCAGCCTTCTTTCCCCATGAAGAAAAAAAAAATCCTGAATATATTATTACAATAAAGTAGCATGAAAAATCCAATGCCAGAAGATTTATTCACAGCCTCTCTATGGGAGGAGAGAAGGTTGCTATAAAGAGCTTAAGAGGGAGAGTCAGGGGAGCTGGAGCGATTGTCCAGTGGGGAGGGTGTTTGCCTTGCACACCAGACGACCCGGGTTCGGTCCCCGGCATCCCATAGGGTCCCCTGAGTACTGCCAGGAGTGATTCCTGAGTGCAGAGCCAGGAGTAAGGCCTTGAGCATCGCCAGGTGTGGCCCAACCCCCTTACCACCCCCCCAAAAAAATAGATTTAAAACTAATTTAAAACTAAATATGGGGGCTGGAGCAATAGTACAACAGGTAGGGCGTTTGCCTTGCACGCGGCCAACCCGGGTTCGATTCCCAGCATCCCATAGGGTCCCCTGAGCACCACCAGGAGTAATTCCTGAGTGCAGAGCCAGGAATAACCCCTGTGCAACGCCAAGTGTAACCCAAAAAGCAAAAAAAAAAAAAAAAAAAAATCACTCCACTCTGTTAGTAAGAAGTTTCCCACCAGGAAAGGAAACCCGCTTCGGCTGGATGAGAATTCTGCCTCCAGAGCGGAAGCAGACAGCACAGGAGGGGCCGCTCGGCGCGTGTGGGGGCTCCCACCTGCCAGGTGCAGCGCCAGGTCTCGACACAGCTCTCGGCTCAGGCTCTGGAACTCGGCCTCCTGCCACACTTTCCCGTCGGGCGTCCGGATCTTGGTCTCTGAAGTATTGAACCCTGCATGGTGAACCATCACACAGAACGTTCTTATCAGAGATGCCTTATTATGAAGTCTAGACACGCCTCTCTTGAGAAGGAATGAACAGATCACAAAAGTCACTCTGTTGGGGGCTGGAGTGATAGTACAGCGGAGAGGGCGTTTGCCTTGCACACAGTCGACCCGGGTTCGATTCCCAACATCCTATCGGGTCCCCTGAGCACTGCCAGGAGTAATTCCTGAGTGCAGAACCAGTAAAAAACTTTTTTTTTTTTTTTTTGCTTTTTGGGTCACAACTGGTGATGCACAGGGGTTCCTCCTGGCTCTGTATCGCCAAGTGTGACCCAAAAAGGAAAAAAAAAGGCTTTTAAGAAGACGGACAGTTGGGGCCAGAGTGATAGCACAGTGAGTAGGGTGTGGCCTACCCGGGTTTGATCCCTGGCATCCCATAGGGTCCCCCAAGCACCGCCAGGATTAATTCCTGATTGCAGAGTCAGGAGTCAGCCCTGCGCATCGCCGGGTGTGACCCAAAAAGCCAAAAATAAAAATATGAAAATAGTCCAACAGCAACAGTGGGAACCAGAACAATAGTACAGTGGGTAGGGCATTTGCCTTGCATGTGTCCTACCCAGATTTGATCCCCGGCATCCCATAGGTGATTCGTGAGTGCAGAGCCAGCAGTAACCTCTGCGTGCTGCCTCGACAGGGTGTGCCTGCACTGCTCTGCTCTCCCCTGTGACCATCTAGTTTCTGTTCCCAAGGTCTTTTCTGCTCTGGACATACCAAATAAATAGGATCACATGGTCTACGGTCAACTGGGACTGGCTTCTTACACTGCGCCTGTCTTCAAAGTCCATTTGCCCTGTCACAGGTATCAGGGTCTATTTATTTTTATTGCGGAATAATCTTCTAACTTATGGATACAATACACACACACACACACAAATGTGTGATATATAACATATAAATGTTTCTTTTTTATTTGGGGGGGCTGGGTCACACCGTTCAGCAATACACTCTTAACTCGTTCCTTGTGTCTCTGACTTGAGAGTCACAACCCTTCCACCACCCCCTCCCTCCCCAACACAATTCTGGGAAGACAGAGGGATGGAGCAGGAGGAGGAGCGAGTCACCCACCTCGGTATATCGGAGCAGGGGGCGCGGTGGCCACCTTCCGAACCTTGGCGGTCACAGCGCTGTCCACGTTCACCAGCATCACCGGATGGTCCAGGCGGCCCAGGTTCAGGCCCCGCCCGCCGACTCCCTCCGAGTGCTCCCACTGCTTCCGGATCCTCTCCTTGAGCCGCTCCAGCTTGACGTCATGCTGGCGCCGCCGCAGGAGCTCCAGCCGCTGGGAGCTGGCCGTGCTGGTGGAGGAGGGGGACGAGTCGGCCAGCCGCAGCGCTCGCGACTCGGCGTCGGGGGCCCCGTTGCAGCCCGCGGCCTGGGCGCTGTTCTCGCTCCCCAGGGCCCTGGCGGGGTGCTCTCCCTGCGCTCGCGCCAGCGCGGCCAGAGTGGTGGCGCTCTCCGCGTTCTGCAAGGCGGCGATGGCCGGCCGATCGTTCAGGAAGCGAATGACGGTCTCGTGGAGGGCGGGCGGGTGGGCGCTGTCCAGGTCACAGCCTCGGCCGGGCCACTCTTCCCGGCTGCTGCGCGCCCGGCGCCCCGCCTCGCCCACGTCCTCGGCAGCACCCACACAGCAGCCGTGCTTGAGTTCCAGCGGGTTGGGGCTCACGCTGGAGGGCGGGCCGTGGATTTCCCTGTTTGTGCCAAACGAGAAGCTTCAAGTTAACGGTGCGGTCGCCCGCTGAGTTGAGACCATCACCGCAGCAAGCTGGATGGAGCTCTCTGCGGCGAATACTCAGAGAACGCTAACGCCCACGAATTCCAGTTGATCCAATAACCAATCATCACACTCAGTAATAAAACGCAGTGCTCAAAGCCCCTTCTATTAGGCCCCATGGAGGATAATCTAAATCATAATGCACATGCCATACAATTGGAAACACACAAAAGATTATAGAGAGGAACATTTTTTTCCTTTTTGGGTCACACCCGGGGATGCTCAGGAATCACTCCTGGCGGTGCTCAGAGGACCCAATGGGATGCTGGGAATCGAACCCGGGTCTGCCACGCGCAAGGCAAACGCCCTACCCGCTGTGCTGTCGCTCCAGCCCTTAGAAGGGAACTTAAAAATTTCAGAAAATGGGAATACAGTATGACTTTGGACCCGTTACCAACAGGTATTTTTCTCTCCTCTATAAAGTCTTAGGGACAAAACATTATGGCATTTCTTTTAACTTCTGAAAACAAACACAAAAGCTGTCCTCGCGTTGTTCATCGATTTGCTCCAGCGGGCCCAGTAACGTCTCCATCATGAGACTTGTTGTGACTGTGTTTGGCATCTCGAATACGCCACGGGGAGCTTCCCAGGCTTTGCTGTGCGGGCGAGATACTCTCGGCAGCTTGCCGGGCTCTCCGAGGGGGGCGGAGGAATCGAACCCAGCTCCGCCGGGCTGGCTGCGTGCAAGGTAAACGCCCTACCACTGTGCTATCACTCCAGCCCCTAACTTCTAAATAATGCGTCAAATTAACAAAAAATACAGGGAGAAGAAATAAAATGAGGAAAGATTATATCCAAAAAATCTAGGGGCTGGAGTTTGCCTTGCATGCAGTTGACCTGGGTTCAATCCCGGCATCCCATACTGTCCCGAGCACCGCCTAACCCGAGCATTGCTGGGTGTGACCCAAAACGCAAAAAAAATTTTAAAATTTAAAAAAAATATCTGAGATTAGTAAAGTTCGAATTCTCTGTGCCACAAGCCACTTGTTTTGGCAGCTTCAAACTCTGCAAAGCCAAACTACACATTCCAGCATAAGCAAAGACAACAGAGCCCAAGTCCCTATCATCAGACCCATATTCTGTATTTGTAAAAAATATTGCCAAAGTTGGGGGGCGAGCAATAGTACAGTGGGGAGGGCATGTGCCTTGCACATAGCTGACCTGGGTTCAACCCCCGGCACCACAGCTGGTCCCTGAGACCCACCCAGAGTGGTCCCTGAAAATAGAGCCAGGAGTCAGGCCTGAGCACTGCGGGGTGTGAGCACACCAAGATCTTATTTCAGAGACTGTTTTACACTTTACCCTTCGTTCAAATAGGCTGCATTTCAGGAAAAGCAGTAGTTTATTAAAAGGGAGGTTAACGAAGACAAAGAAAACCCAGGATCATAAAGGAAACATTCAGTGACCAGGGGGATCACCCAGAGGGCTGGAGTCCACACCTTCTGGCTTTGGGTTTTATTTGACTTTTTTGGTTTTAGGGCCATACTTGGCAATGCTCAGGACTTACTCCTGGCTCTGCACTCAAGGATCACTCCTAGTGGGGCTCAGGAACTATATGTGGTGCTGGGGATCGAACCCGGGTCGGCCTCGTGCAAGGCACTGCTCTACCATCTGAGCTATTGCTCCGGCCCCCAATTTTACTGTTTAATTACAGTTAAATAATTCAGGTCTAAAATTAGCAGATGTAAAAACAAAATAATAAGGCATAAAACAGTCGGTTCTATATCCGGTTTCAGTCTTAAAAAGGGAAGATCAACTGACCTCTGCTCCCCCAAAAGTAATTTCATAGAGACTCATGAAATATGCAATGCATCATAAATAACTCGGGTCGGCCATGTTGGCCGCGTGTAAGGCGAACGCCGTACCGCTGTGCTATCGCTCCAGCTCCAGGGCCTTTATCATAAATAACAAATCAGGATGTTCATGATACAATGTTTTAATCTTCTGGAATGAACTTTCCGCAATAAGATGTGGGAGCAATATTAATGGGATGCATAGTGAATGGCACACGTGTAAAGCAAATGCCTTAAGAATAAGACAAATTTAGAGCCAGACATAAAATAATGTGATGGGTGTAACTGGAATCAAAATCATACAGTAGAAAAAAGCTGCTGCAGAGTAAGAGACTGGGTATTTTGAGAGCACACAAGACGGTGACAGAGACTGGAGGCGAGGAGGCAGGTAGAAACAGCAGGTGTCTGGGGCCAGAATCACAGGACAGCGGGAAGGATGTTTGCCTTGCATGTGATCGACCCAGGTTCGATCCCGGGTATCCCACAAGGGTCCCCTAACCTCCACCAGGAGTAATTCCTGAGTGCAGAGCCAGAGTAACCCTGAGCATCGCTGGGTGTGAGCCAAAAAGCCATAAAAAGGGGGAAAAATACAAAGCATTTTATATTATTCCTATTATAAGCATGTATATATCAGTCTTGAATATTGTACTAAGTTCCTGAAAGGGATCACTGACAATAAAGGAAAAGAAAAACCAAATTATATTTTCAATAAGAAATAAACTTTGGGTGACTGACTAATTATACTATACAAAAATCATGATGCAGACGGCTTTTAACCTGAGACAGTTAAGGAAAGAAAGCCACACTTCTAGAGTGTGAATAAGTCATGCAGGAAACATATTGTGTTTTCACAATGGTGGCAGACGGGGGAAAATACTAGCTTCCTCCTCCCAAAATACCTGAACAACAACAAAAAGAGTAGAGTAGAAAATCAATCTTGAGTCAGAGGGAGAGTCTGGGGTGAGGTATTCCAAACCATGGTACCCTGAGCACCACCACTCCTGAAAAGAGCCAGGAACAGTCCCTGAGCAACCCTCAAGACAGCCCCACCTCCCATCCCCAAAAAAGAGTGAAAAAAAATTTTTTTTTTGGCTTTTTGGGTCACACCCCGTGATGCTCAGAAGTTACTCCTGGCTCTGCAAATCAGTAATTACTCCTGGTAGTGTGCTTGGGGGACCCTATGGTATGGGGTGCTGGGGATCGAACCCGGGTCAGCTGCATGCAAGGCAAACGCCCTCCACCCCCCCACTGTGCTGCTGCTCTGGCCCCTCAAAGTTTTCTACTAGATCAGAGTGTTATGAAAAACTTGGAAACCAAGTCATGCTTATTCCTGAGCCCTCCGATTGGCCCTGCTTGGGTGGCTTCCTTCTCCGACTGACCTGTAGGAAGCCAAAGGCTCGCGGAATTCCACACGGTTGCTTTTCCTCACGTTGCTCTCCAGTGTGGTCGCTCTCAGCGGGCTGCGGGATTTCTCTTTCCGCGACTTGGAAGCTTTGGAGGCTGGAGCACTGCCCCAGGGGTCATCCAGGTACCTGCCATCTGGAGGAAAAGGAAACCTGTGAGGACACGGCATGTCTCCAAGCACCTGAGAAGACAACTGAAGCGTCGATCACTTCTGGCGTCTCTAAGTATAAGGAAATGTGCAGGTTAAGGTATTAAAGGTCCTCAGTCTAGAAAGACCGCAGTGAGAGCACACTACGGGAAAGAAAATTTTATATACAAAATTCCCCCTTGGCAAAGACTCTCACTCAAGAAGACGGAGCAGATAAAAACGACACATGCTCAGGCTTAAGGAAAAAAAAAAGGTTTTGGTGAAAAGTCCTAATCTGGAAGTGCTGGTCCACTTAAAGACCACAGAAATCAGATATATGGTAAGTAAAAAGAAAATGTGGCATGTCAATGTCTGGCAGTGTCTATAAAATACATTCCAGCTATGACTCTAAACCCCAATAAAAAAAGATAAATCTCACTAAGTCAACAAAATTTCAAAGCAATATAATTCAACTGTGAAGTTAAAAAAATAGAGGAGGGGGGCTGGAGCCAATAGCACAGCAGGGAGGGCGTTTGCCTTGCACGCGGCCGACCCGGGTTCGATTCCCAGCATCCCATATGGTCCCCCGAGCACCGCCAGGAGTGATTCCTGAGTGCAAAGCCAGGAGGAATCCCTGAGCACCGCTGGGTGTGACCCAAAAAGGTAAAGGTAAAGGCAAAGGTAAAAGCCCTCCCGTTGATCGTCGATTTGCTCGAGCGGGCCCAGTAACGTCTCCATTTGACCCAAAAAGAAAAAAAAAAATTAAGGAGGGAGGGAGAAAGGAAGGAAGGCAAGAAAAAAGGAAGGCGAGAGGGAGGGAGAGAGGGAGGGAGGGAGGGAGGGAGGGAGGGAGGGAGGGAGGGAGGGAGGGAGGGAGGAAAAAAGGGAGACATAGGACCCAAGAACCCCAAAGGCTCAAAATGAAATTCTGATCACTAAATAAAAAAGCACGTGTGAACAGTGCTCGCAGCACGAGTCACTGCTAAGGCAGGCAGAACATCGTCCACAGTCACAGCAGACAGGCTGCCTTCCAACCAGCCAGTCTCAAAGAAAAGGGAATGAAATGCTTCTGACAACAGTCTGGTGAAAGCAGCCAGCTGGGGACTTAATGGGTCTTTATTAAATAAAACCGAAGGGGCAGAGCGACAGCACCATCGGAGGGCGCTGGCCTAGCACGCGGCCCACCAGGGCTCAGTTCCTGATATCCCATATGGTCCCCTGACACCATCAGGAATGATCCCTGAGCACAGAGCCAGGAGTAAGTCCTGCAGCCCCCCAAAAAGAAGAAGAAGAAAAGAACAAAAATGAGGGCCAGAGAGCAGTAGTACACAGGAAAGGGGTTTGCCTTGCATGTGACCCAACCAGGTTCGACCCCTGGCACCCCATGTGTTCCAGGAAGCCCCACCAGGAGTGATCCCTGAGCACAGAGCCAGGAGTCAGCCCTGAGTACTACAGGGTGCGGATCCCAAACAAAAACTAAACAGGAAATATAACCAACAAAACCTTTTCAATTAATACACGTATCTTTAAAAGCAACTGCAGTCCTACCTTTTCTACTGATTTTTCGAGTTGCACTTGCTGGCAATTTCTTGGTGTCCATGACAGAATCAAACACAGCTGTACTGGTCGGGGCCACTTCTAATTTGTTCTCGATGTGTCTCAACTAAAACACGAACACCATCACCACAACACGTTAATTCTGTAAATAACCCAGTTACCACTGGGCGACGTAATTTTGTAAAATTACACCTTCCTCCAAAACAGAAAACTCAGGAATGCTTTCTTGCAATTTCCTTTTCCCTTTATCGCTTTAGCTATGAGAACCAGCTAATACAGCCTTATCCCAGTTCTGTCAACAAAATGAAACATTCTAAAAATAGCAAAGAGTTTCTATTTATCTCGTTGACCGATTATTCACTTTTAATACAAGTGTGCAGGTTTATGCTTCTGATATACAATGTTATGCAGCTCCCCTACCACCAACTGGCTGTTTTTTTCCAACAGGTGAGCTGAGTTCTCTGAAGCAGTCAGTTCTCTACATTACATGCTGCATATCATTATGCTTATACAATTTACATTAAAAAAATCCAGGAGAACATAATTCTTCTGCATTAAGTGTAAGACTATTCCAGACCCACAACTTTCTAAAGTCTTTTATGCGTAAAACAAGTTTCTTGTGTGTGGGGCAAGTGGCCTAGGATGTAACTCTGGGGAGCCAGGGAGATCGCTCAAGTGGCAGAGCACATGGCAAGCAGACCTGAGGCCCCGGGTTCGATCCCCACCACTGCTGGCATGATCCTAATGCCCCCCACACCTGGCATCACAGAGAGGCCCAAGATCCTCAAGTGCTGCCAGCTTTGATCCTTTTTTTATGTATACATATATAAAAGCGAATAGGGGACAGAGAGGTTGCTTGCACGTGGGCAACCTAGGTTTAATCCCTGGCACCATAGGTTTTCAGAGCCCACTCCGAGTACAGAGCCAGGAGTAAGTCCTGAGCACAGCCAAGAGTGGTCCAAACCCATCAGTATCAGCATCAGCACCACCACCACCACACACACACACACACACACACACACACACACACACAAATAAAAAGCAGTATGGAAAAATTATACCTAATTTAATCATAACAGAAAAACCAATACTAGAAATAAGAGAGAAAGCAGCTCCAAGTACTTACAGCAGCCTTAGTTTGATAAAGTGCATCCCAAGTTGAGGTTATATCTGCTGGAAACAGTGACATTTGTTGAGTTAGAATCTCTGAAGTGGCCTGCATCAGCATTTTAATAGACCCCCAGACCGACTCACACATTCGAGACACGCTTCACAGGGCAGAGGCACCTCTCAGGACGTGCTGTATCATACTGAGTTGCAACATGCTTTTCCTCCCATCCCAAAAAATTGAGGGTTCCAATATAGGGCTGAGTGTTATATTAAAAAAATAGGGGTCGGAACAATAGCACAGAGGGTAGGGCATTTGCCTTGCATGCGATCGACCTGAGTTCAAGCCCCTGCATCTCATAGAATACTCTGAGCATCGCCAGGAGTAATTCTTGAGTGCAGAGCCAGGAGTGACCCCTGGGCCCTGGGCATCACTGGATCTAACCCAAAAGACAAAAAAAAAAAAAAACAAAAAAGACCAGGGGACGGAGCAATGACATAATACAATGAGTAGGACACTTGCTTTGCATGTGGCTGACCCAGATTCAATCCCGGGCATCCCATATGGTCCCTCTGAGCACCACCAGGCATGATCCATGAGCACGGAGACAGGAGTAAAACCTGAGTACCACCAGTGTGGCCCCCCTCACCCCCACAAAAAAGAAGAAAGAAACCCATTTCCTCTTAAGGCAAATTGGACTGACATTCCCACTAACCAGTAACTGCTTAGTCTACTTCAAGGAGTTGAACCAAAGCAAAATTTTTGCATTATACTGTATGGCCATTACGAGGTGAAAAGATGAGAAAACTAGCCCAGAATCCCCTCTCTCAGAAAAAGGCCTTCGGGATAATGCAGAGCCATGAATGTCCCCAGGGCATACACGAGAGACCCGAAACTCCTGTGACTTGATTTCCAGACCCCTCCCAGCCTTTGCATTCTCAGGTCTTAACAGGCCTCCAAAGATAATGGACCCTGAAGGCAAGTCACCTCCAATACATCATTAGCCAAAAAAGAAATACTTGGGGGGTCAGGGGGAGGGGTGTGGCTCAGAGAGAAGAGAAAGAGAATTCAGCGAGAGAATCAATTTTATTGATTTGTGCCCTACAAGTCTATTTTTTCATTAGGAGTCATACTATTTATTAAGTCAAAATTTCTAACTGTTATAACAACATCATCTTCCAGGACATGTATGACAAACACCACAGTGCCTGAAAGGGGGGGGAGAGAGAGAGAGGGAGAGGGAGAGGGAGAGAGAGGAAAACTATCTTCCATAGACAGGCTGGGGGGGCAGGGGATGGCGGGAGAAAAATTGGAGACTTGGTGGTGGGAAATGTACACTGGTGAAGCGACAGTCATCGGAACACTATAGTACTGAAATCCAATCATGAATAGCCCTGTAACTATGTATCTCACAGTGATTCAATTAAAAAAAATCAGTTTCTAATTGTGTGAAAATTTCACAAACTTGTTTCATTTTACGGACTTGGAGGGCATGTGGTACAAGGGATCAAACCCAGGGTCTCACACAGTCACAGCACTACAGCACATGCTCTACTGCTCAGTGCTCCTCCTGGCCCCAGCAGCGTCTTTTCTGATGACATCCCAGGATCCCTTAGTCCACTCCCCGCCCCCCCCACCCCCCCCCGCCACCCAGTGCCCCTGACAGTCACCTCTGCTGCAATGACTAGGCACCAAACACTGAGCGTGGCATTTACAGGGGCCGCCCCCTTCCCGTGGCTATTCTGGCACACGCTTGGCAGCGGCGTCTGGAGGTCACGAACTCCTGTTCCAGCAGCCAGAGATCCCGAAAAGGTCGGTGGAGTCACCCAGATCACACACACACACACACACACACACACACACACACACACACACACACACGCGCGCGCGCGCACGCGGGCACTGGGCTGGGACATAGGCCCCCTCCCTTCTACCACAGGCTGCCCCGAAGGGAAGACACGAGCTGCATTCAAACCAAAATTGAACCTGTTGGGGGCCAGAGCGACTACAGCAAATAGGGCATTTGCTTTGCACATGGCCTACCTGGGGTTCGATCCCTGGCATCCCATATAGTGCCCCAGCTTTGTCAGGAGTAATTCCCGAGTGCAGAGGGTGTGACTCCCCCCCAAAAAAAAATTAAACATGTTTTCCTTCTTTCGGTTTTGGGCCACGCCCACACAGTGCTCAGGGCTTCCTCCTGGCAGTGCAGAGGGGCCCATATGTGATGGACGGAATCAAAGCGGGATGAGTCACGGGCAGGGCAAGGACCGGAACCCCTGGACCATTTCTCCAGCCCTTGAAATATTATTTAAATAAGCACGTGCTGCCTCCTTACACTCATCAGCCTAGAACCTAACAGCGCAACGCCAGATAACCACGCGACTGACGGTCAGCAATCGGAAGTGAAACGCTACCTTGAGCGGCCTCCTTACTCTGCAAGCTGCGTGCGCTGGGCAAAGGCACCTCTTTTGACGTGCTGCTCGTCATCTTGCCACTTTACCTGCAAGAAACCACACCGTCAGTGGTCACTGAACAGGGCCAGAGAGAACTACCAGCTCCAAAAGTTGTATGTCCACTTTTTCAGTTTCTGATGATCCAACACCCGCACTTTCTTTCTTTTTTCTCTTTTTTTGCTTTTTGGGCCATACCCGGCGTTGCACAGGAGTTACTCCTGGCTCTGCACTCAGGAATCACTCCTGGCGGTGCTTGGGGGGATGCTGGGAATCGAACCCGTGTCGGCGACATGCAAGGCAAACTCCAGCCCCAACATCCGCATTTTCCCTTGGGAAATAAAGCCCTGAAACGGACGCTAGCCAGCGCTGGTTGACGACGTGTGGGCACTGGGATGCCTGAGGAGGTAACGGGGAGAGCCGGGGGACATGGCACTCCGGTTCCTTTGGCTCCTTTGGAGTAAAGCGTCTTGGAGTCACAGCCACAACTGTTCTCGAACACACCCCCGAGGAAAGGGCTTCCTTGCAGCCCTCCACAGACCAAGGCTTTAATTTCCCCTCCTAAAGAGGGCAGGGTGGGGCCAGAGCGATTATAGGCAGGGAAGGCATTTGAAATGCACAAAGCCAACCCAGGTTTGATCACCAGCATCCCATATGGTCCCCCAAGGACCGCCAGGAGTAATTCCTAAGTGCAAAGCCAGGAGGAACCCCTGAGCATTGCTGGGTGTGACCCAAAAGACAGAAGAAAAAAAAAAAGAGGGCAGGGAACGCCCTCTATTTTGGTTCCCTCCTTGCTACATCATTCAGTATTCCTCCCTGCTCCCACGAAACCTTCTTCTCCCTGACACATGCCATCTACTCATCTAACAAGTATTTGCCGGGTGCCAAGCAGGTAGCCGGAATGAGCCATGCTGAGCAGCGGGCACGGGCGTGACCCGAGCAAACACAGTCTCCACGCCCAAGGAGTCAGGAGGCCGGCTCAGAAACTGAACAATCAACGCGTCTGACGAATGGCATGGAGGCAGGTAGGGAAGAGCAGCACATAACAAATGAACTGGGTCACCTGGGAAGGAGACAAGGGAGTCATTCCATCTATGACCTAAAGGAGTGAGCTAAGTCCGGACAGAACCCCGGGCAATGGAGCAATACTGAGGCATGGCCTCCCAATGAAATCACGATGACGAAGGAGTTTCAGAAAACAGAAGGCCCCGAGGGCTGCACAGGAAACCGTGAGGCAAGCAGAAAGGAAGGGACAAAATCAGGCCGGGCTCTCCCATCTGTGCTTTTTCTGTTTGCCTGTTCATTTGGCTTTTTGGGTCATACCCAGAGATGCTCAGGGGTAACCCCTGGCTCTGCCCTCAGGAATCACTCCTGGCAGTGTTCGGGGGACCCTAGGGGATGCTGGGGTTCAAAGCCAGGTTGGTCACATGCAAGGCAAACACCCTCCCCACTGTGATATCGCTCTGGCCTGCATCTGCACATTTCAAGGATCAAAGCTGGCCACTTCCACTTCTCTTAGATGCTCTCGTGTCACTTTCAGAAACCCATGACAAAAATCTAGATCATTTTATTATGCTGGGTCTCCTCTAAGCTTCTTAAAGACGAGAGTAACTGTATTTGAACCCAGTCTGTGTTATGGAAAATACAATCAACTTCCAAATTTTGCAAAGGATAACTAACTTGCCAGTAGAAAGTGAAAGCACAATTTCACTAAAGTTGTAACAAGTGACATAAAAAGAATCCAGTTTAAGGGCCCGATCCATAGTGTTTGCCTTGCATGGGTTCAATCCCTGAGTCCCATATGGTCCTCCAAGCACCACCAGGGGTAATCGCTGAACATTGCTGGGTGTGACCCAAAAAGAAAAAAAAAATAAAAAGGGGATGGAGAGATAATATGGTAGATACAACCCTTTCTGTGCACACCGATGATCTGGGTTCGATCCCTGGTACCCCATATGGTCCTCTGAGCTTTGCATCCAGAAAGCTGGTCTGATCCTCACCACTGCACGGGTCCCGAAGCAACCCTGAGCACAGAGCCAGGAGTGGTCCCCAAGCACTCCCAGATGGGGCCCCAAATCAAAACATGGCTTTATTTCCCAAGTACGTGACAAAGGCTCATAGAAAACTGAAACACGGCCAAGAAACCGGAAATTTTATTTCCCATTCAGGCTAAGCGTTAATGGATTAAGAATAGAACAGGAGAAGCGGCATAAGAGGAAGGACTCAAGAATCCTTCCTCTGTTTCAAATTTCCCATCACCGGATTCTCATGAAACTTGGACCAACGGTAATTTCTCTCCTGTGACTCTCGAGTCTCCCTGCATTTCCAAGAGTTTCTTTCTATGAGATTTACTCTAAATCCAGTCTTCTTGGGGCTAGGGTGACAGCATAGTGGGAAGGGTCCTTGCCTTGCACACAGCTGACCCGGGTTCGATTCCTAAGTGCAGAGCCAGGAGTAACCCCTGAGCATTGCTGGGTGTGACCCATAAACAAAACAAACAGAAAATCAAATCTTATGGCAGGCAAATATATTCCCTCATCCCAAGTCCTCTGTCACTGCTGCTCTTTCTATGCACAAACGTCCCCCAGAACGCTGGCCACACCCAGGTGGACAGACTTTTGATCCCTCCGCCAAGCAATATCAGAATAGCCACCAGCTGTGTGCCTCCACTTAGGTTCTCTGAAAAACCATCGACTCCCCAACCCTGGTGAGGGTATTTTGTCAGCAGCTTGTCTCTCCTGAAAACTCTTCCCCTTGCCTCACCCGTCTACACTCGGGCGTTCCACTCCTCTTGGGTTTTCCTGACATAGATCTCAGATCTGGAATCTGGAGGCTCAGGAGTGCTGACTGAGGGCTCTGCTCGGACACTCGACCTGCCCTGGGGGACTCAGCCATGCCCAGGGCTTCAAACACCGTCCAGGTACCAATGGCTGCCAAAACTCCAGCCTGGAGCTGATCTGAGGTCCTAACCCACAGCTCCAACAGCTGGTTCCCCACAGACGTATTTCCAATTCAACATGTCCAAATGCCAGCTCACTGTTCCCCCAAAAAGGAGGCACTGAGTTCCTCTCATACAGTTGCACAAGTCAGAAATAGTCACAAAGGGGCTGGAGAGATAGCACAGCAGCAGGTAGGGCGTTTGCCTTGCATGTGGCTGACCCGGGTTCAATTCCCAGCATCCCATATGGTCCCCTGAGCACCGCCAGGAGTAACTCCTGAGTGCAGAGCCAGAAGTAACCCCTGTGCATCGCCGGGTGTGACCCAAAAAGCAAAAAAAAAAAAAAAGAAATAGTCACAAAAGTCGGGGTCGGAGTGATAGTACGGCAGGGAGGGCACTCGCCTTGCATGCAGCCGACCAGGGTTTGATTCCCAGCAGCCCAAGGATCCCCGACCCCCACCAGGGGTGATCCTTGAACACCACTAGGTGTGGCCAAAGAAAAAAACGAAAAGAAAGGAATATAAAGAGAGTCACCAAAGTGATTATACTAGATGATGAATAAGGTCCTTTTCTACTCTGAATTTATTATCTATGCCGGTCTGAGAAGGGGATCCAGGAATTGCTGAGATATATAAAGAGTGGGGTTATCTTTGAAGTTAAAACATATATTTTGGGAGGTAAGACATTTGACTTCCATGCAGGAAACTTGAGCCCCAGTACCCCATGTGGCAGCCTGAATAGCTCCAGGTCTAGCCCATGAGTACCACTGGGTCTGGCCCCAACCCCCACACCTCCACCCCTGAGAGTCAAACAATTTCCACAATATATTAAGACATTATATGTCTTAGCGCTGGAGAGATAGGGCGATGGGTAGGGCACTTCTCTTGCATGTGGCTGACCTGGGTTCGATCCCAGGCATCCCATATGGTCCCTGAGCACCACCAGGAGTAACTGCTGAGTGCAGAGCCAGGAGTAACCTACCTGAGCATCTCTGGGTGTGGTCCCCAAACCAAAAATAAATAGAAGATGGAATAAATACCTAATATAAATAACTTTATATGAAAATGCTTATAAGTTCTAACAAATACTACTAGATGTAGCCCACATAAATATAAACTGAATTCTCAGGAACTCGAAAGTCTGAAGTAGTGAAAAACAAGAGTATAAAGTAGTCCTGCCACCAAGGACTCCTCTGAGAAATGCTGACCTCTTTCTGTGATACAGACACAAGATGTAAGATGACATTCAGAACCTGCCAATCCTCAGGAACCTTCTCACAGTGAGTTTTCCTTTCAGAATTATTGATAATCCTTTTGGTCACAAGAGACTCAATCCACTTCATGTTCATTGGTCTTCAGTTATGTGCACGGGGGTCAGAAGATGGAAGAAACATTTTATTCTGCCCGTCACTGTTGACGGTCCCCTACCAGAGGGCACAATTCTGCTCCCTCGTCTCTGTCCTAGCCTCGAGAACAATCATGGCAGCTGACCACATGAGGACAATCCTGCCTCTGTTGTACTAAGTTTAAGGGGCTCCTGGCATGGGTCGCCGCTCCCTCCCCCTCAACAGGCCCCCAGCACTTTATCACTCCCCCTGCTCAGACTGACATGGTCCTCTCTGTCAGGGCTGTGAGCGGTCCGATGCTCTTGGCCTCCTGGTGGCCCTAAGCCCATCCCCAGGCTGGGCACTCAGGCCTGTCCAATGAGCCAGTGTCCCACTTGGCGAGTGTCAGAATCCAGTTCTTAGGTGAAAACAGGCACAAGAGCAGGTATTGCGTTCTGCAGCTGGAAATCTTCACCTACGGGCCTATGTTAACCTGTAAAATGTGAGACGACCGCACGTTTGAAATATGTGAGTGTAGATACTGTCTTGGGCTGGAGCGATAGCACGGCGGGTAGGGCGTTTGCCTTGCACGCGGCCGACCCAGTTGGCCCATGTTCGAGTCCTCCGCCCCTCTCAGAGAGCCCAGAAAACTACTGAGAGTATCTCGCCCGCAAGGCAAAGCCTGGCAAGCTACCTGTGACGTATTCAATATGCCAAACACAGTAGCAACAAGTCTCCCAATGGAGATGTTACTGGGCCTGCTTGAGCAAATCGATGAGCAACGGGAG